TGAAAAGAATAAAGATACTTTGTTATGTTAGAATGTATTGTCCCTTCATTCTTCTTTGTTCGCTCTTCTTATTCATGTTACAAAAATTCAAAATTGTCTATATGTATTATCTTGTCTATGCTAGAATGGAACATAAAGTTCTAACATTTCTTGACATGCATAACCGTCGAGTAAATCCACAGGAAATAAATATTTTGGTATATATGACCCTAATATAAAAATGAAATGCTTAAGATTATGCATACAACGCAATAAATAACTAATTGAAGCAATATTCTATGCAACAAAAAGTTTCAATTCAAATGAGATCACATGTGATAATACAGGAAGCTCATCTTCATCGACAAATGGTATCGGAACTGGATCACTAAAACAAAACAAAAAGATTTTCTTTTGAATTAAAAACTTTTCTCTTTGTACACTTTTTCAACTAATACATTTTTTATTCGACAACTTACTAGATATCATTATTGTTAACCGCACTTTTATCTCTCACGGTTAGACCTATATAGCGTACTCTGTGACAAAGGCGAAGAATTGTCAAAATTGAATTTAGAGAAGTCATCGAAGATGGACCATTTATAAACAAATACAATGATGAGATGTTTGAAGATAATGAAATATTATTGAAAATATTTGAATAATTATAAGAATATTGTAGAACAATTGAGCGAAGAGAAGATGATTTGTGCATTAACATAGTTCGAGCTAATTCATATTTATCGTGTTTATTCATAGTTATACCATTTAGATTAAAAATATCAAATGAGACAAGTTTATCAAAAATTTTTATGTGTTGAATCACATTGTCAAGTTTTGTTGATTGATGAATTCTTATAAATTTACAGAATTGAAGATTAATAAAATCATGTCGACTGAATAATAAACTAATAATAGATGTATCGTCACGAACTATATCATTTATGTTTATTGAAATAACTTGATGAGCATGGAAAGTAAGATAAGAAGAAAGAAAATCAACTTGATTACGACAATGCTTTCCTGAAATAATAATGCGAAGTGGAGTTGATTGGAAAATCGACGAAATTCGTTTATTCAATGAGCCAAATGCACTAAAGATATCAAGTGCATGTAAATAGTCAAATATTTCCAAGAAAATCTCGTTTGGTAAATTTTCTAGACGAGTTTCTGTACCCATTTGTATAAATATCTACAAAGAATATATAACATGCTTTATAATAATATATCTATGAACAATATTGACGTCGGCTGTGACCTAAGAAATAAGACTGACCGTCTATTTTCGACTGAAAATATACAATACTATCGCTCGTATACAAACATCGTGGAAAAGAATGTACAGCGCATGTCCCTAATAAGAACAGGTGTTTTGACTCCCTTCATTGTTATACATTTTTCTCAGCCATTTTGAGCGATAAAAAAATTATCTTTTCAACTCCGGGTAGAGGAGCATTTTGTGCATTTAATGATGCAAAAATTAGCTAATTATCTCAAAAACTAATTGAGTAATTAGCGGTATAATTTTGACAAGTGCTCTTGTTCGTGTTAAGTAGCATGTTCTCAATAAGAACAATAAGCTAAAATATGTTCCTAATACGAACATTCCATGTAAAATACATAGAAAATAAAAAAAAACTACTAAAAACTATTTTTCGTGTCAAGACAACGAAATTTTGATATACTTCTTTGACAAAAAATGTTCATCATGATATGATACATAAAAATCTAAAGGTTCAGAATTTTAGCAGTTACTATAGCTGAGTTATATCAATTTTAAAATTGATTTTTTTGTTCTTATTAAGTACACTGTACTTAATTCGAACAGTCAGCAAAAAAATGTTCCTAACAAGAACATTCCATGTAAAATGCATGGAAAATAAAAAAATTTTACTAAACGAGGTTTTTTAATCTCTAGACTAAAAAATTTCTTTTTGCGAGTGCATTAAAAAATGTTTCTTGACTCAAGTTGGAATAGAATCCAGCGGTTGAAGACAATCGATGATTCCGTTTGTCTTGTATAGAGAAAATTCGTTTTTTTCGTTTAGGTTATTTTTTTAATTAAAATTTTTATTTTATTTTTGATGCAATTTTTCACTGAATAATACTGAAACTTAATATATATCATATTTTCGATATATACATGCATAATAAATGAAAAAAAATGAAAAAAAATGAAAAAAAATGAAAAAATTTTTTCGTACTCTGAACTCCTGTTTCGGAAGTACGAAAATTTTTTTTCGTTTTTTTTTCATTTATTATTCATGTATATATCGAAAATATGATATATATGAAGTTTCTATAGTATTCAGTGAGAAATTTCATCAAAAATAAAATTAAAAATTAATTAAAAAAATTAAGAAAAAACAAGAAATACGAATTTTCTCCATATCAGACAAACGGAATCATCGTTTGTGTTCAACCGCTGGATTTTATTCCAACTTGAGTCAAGAAACATTTTTTAATGTACCCACAAAAAAAACTTTTGTTGTCTAGAGGTAAAAAAACCTCGTTTAGTAAAAAATTTCTATTTTTCATGTATTTTACATGGAATGTTCTTATTAGGAACATTTTTTTGCTGGTTGTTCGAATTAAGAACATTGTTCCTAATAAGAACGAAAAAATCAATCTTAAAATTGATATAACTCAGCTATAGTAAATGCAAAAATTCTGAACCTTTGGATTTTTATGTATCATATCATGATGAACATTTTTTGTCAAAGAAGTATATCAAAATTTATTAGTTTTCATATAAAAAAATCTCATTTAGTGGTTTTTTTAAATTTTCCATGTATTTTACATGGAATGTTCGTATTAGGAACATATTTTAGCTTATTGTTCTTATTGAGAACATGCTACTTAACACGAACAAGAGCACTTGTCATAATTATACCGCTAATTACTCAATCAATTTTTTAGATAATTAGCGGAATTTTGCACCATTTGATGCGCAAGATGCTCCTTTACTCGGAGCTAAAAAGATAATTTTTTTATCGCCAAAAATGGCTGAGAAAAACAAAAAATAATCAAAGGTGTTGAACCACCTGTTCTTATTAGGGACATGCGCTGTACTTATTCTACAATAGTTTATTTCTTCTCTCTAACTCAAGCTCAAAATGAATTGCTATATTCAGTAATAAACGATTGTCAAATTGAGAACAAAGATAAGATTGATTTCGCTATTCATGTATTCATTTCCCTCACGAATTTAGAACGAATCAATCAGATACGAAATCTTATTTCATAAACAGGTGGTCCCATATGCCGATGTTCATATTATAGAGGTTGATTTATATTGGCAGAGACTGATAAAATAGCGTTCAGATTGAGAAATACAGGATGATCATTTAGGAGAAGACAAGATCTTGCTAAATTCTTTGGATTGAATCGAAAGATATTCAGTATAGCAGATTGAGTATTTAGAAGAGATGTTCAGTAATAGATGGTTTTTCTAATGAGAAAAGATAACGATATGTTGGTCGTGTCGATACATCTTACAGACCATTCTATTATTATCTATGATTATGCATTCTCTTCGTGATTTAAGTTCAAAATAGAATATAGAACGAGAAATAAAAAATCGATGAATTATTTTGGATAGAAACATTTAAGCAAACTCATCAATAATAAGTATACAGTCTTTCTCATATAATATAGCAGCTGTTGCAAGTATGTTGTTTTGTTTTATGTAGATAATTCATTCATATAAAAAGCACCTTTTTTTCTATAGTAAATATAAGTTAGTGAAGTGATACACTACTGGTAGTTCATGATCAATGATCAACGTTTTTTTATTAAGATTGTGCAATCAATATTTACTTATTTTAGGTCGTTATATAGCAATCTAGAATATTGTTTCACCATTCTCATTGTATGCTTTTTGTTTGCTGTTTCTACTATATAGATTATTTACCTATTCATGTTCTATTTTCACTTTACTGATTAGTGAAGAAAATACTCTCATTGAGTAAGAATAATTATTCGGGATAGAAGAAATAAGTCACTTATTCACACTGGTCATTTATTTCGTTCTTGAAGAAGGGGTGGTGTGTGGGTGCGAGTATGATATAAATATAATACCCACATCAACATCCACACCCGCACCCACCCTTTATCCATTACGTTTTTATTAATTACAGAATTGTTCTCTATACGCGCACGCGACGAACTAAAAAATAGAATTAGTTTAAAAATAAGTAAATAAAACCTTCTTTTATTTATTTATCAAATATTCTTCATCATCTCCTCTTTTACATTTTGAATATAAGGATCCGTCGGAGGTAGTGCACGTTGTAATATGTCCAGAACACGTTCATGATATGATAGTGCTGTCGAATAGTCTTTCATATTTCTATAAACCCAACCGATGTTGTTGTATAAATTAGCCAACGAAGGATGATTTGAAGGAAGAGTTTTTTCATAGATTTCGAGCGCTTTTTCGTGAGAAGAAAGTGCTTTTTCGTACTCTGCCATTTCGTTATACATATTGCCGATGCTATTGTATGAATTAGCCAAATTAGGATGATTTGAAGGAAGAGTTTTTTGTCTAATGTCAACTGCTTTTTCGTAAAATGAAAGTGCTGTCGAGTACTCTCCCATCTTGTAATACACAGTACCGATGTTGTTATATGAAGAAGCGAACAAAGGATGATTTGAAGGAAGACTTTTTTGTTGAATCTCAAGGGCTTTTTCGAAAAATGAAAGAGCCTTCGAATTGTCTTCTATAGTGTAATATATACTAGCAATGTTGCTGTATGAAGTAGCCAAATTAGGATGATTTGAAGAAAGAGTCTTTTGAAAGATTTCGAGTGCTTTCTCGAAAAATGAAAGTGCTTCCGTATGCTCTCCCATGTTGTTATACATACTACCGATGTTGTTGTATGACTTAGCCAACAGAGGGTGATTTGAAGGAAGATTTTTTTGATAGATTTCAAGTGCTTTTTGGTGAGGGGAAAGTGCTTTGGAGTACTCTGCCATTTCGTTATACACATTACCGATGCTGTTGTATGAACTAGCCAAATCAGGATGATTTGAAGGAAGAGTTTTTTGTCTAATGTTAAGTGCTTTTTCGTAAAATGAAAGTGCTTTCGAATATTCTCCCATGTTGTGATACACACAACCGATGTTGCTGAATGAAGTAGCAAAATTAGGATGATGTAAAGGAAGAGTTTTCTGGTAGATTTCGAGTGCTTTTTCGTACAATGAAAGGGCTTTTGAGCACTCTCCCATCTGTTTGTACAGCATACCGATGTTGTTGTATGAAATAGCCAACAAAGGATGGTTTGAAGGAAGAGTTTTTTGATAGATTTTAAGTGCTTTTTCGAGAGTGAAAAGTGCTTTCGGGTACTCTCCCATACTGTCATACAAAATCCCGATGTTGTTATATGAAGTAACCAGATCAGGATGATTGGAAGGAAGAACTTCTTCTCGAATTTTAAGTGCTTTTTCGGAAAATGAAAGTGCTTTCGAGTACTCTCCCATCTTGTAATACACAGTACCGATGTTATTATATGACAGCGCGAAATCCGAATAATTTGAAGGAGGATTTGTTTGTCTAATGTCAAGTGCTTTTTCGTAAAATGAAAGTGCTTTCGAGTACTCTCCCATGTTATTATACAGCATACCGATATTGTTGTATGAAGTAGCCAAATTAGGATGATTTGACGGGAGAGCCTTTTCTATAATCACCAGTCCTCTTTTGTAATACCAAATAGCTTTTTCATAATCACCCTGCGTAACTTTTGCCACTCCCAGCTGATTATAATAAAATGCTTTTTCATCCTCATTCGATACCTGTTCGAGTAATATGCTATAAAGTTCTTCAGCTTTATTAACTTGACCAATTTGAAGCAATAATTGACCCAATCGGTGCCATCCAGTACTACCACTAGCTTCCTCTCGTATTCGATCAGTAAGTACTCGTAATTGTTGATCATCATCCGACGTTAATTGTAGTTCAACTTGATAAAGTTCATTGTCAATGTCCATCACTTTAATTGCACCGACTCGAAAGACGGTGTGCATTGAGAAGAGAATTTCTTCTTCATCTTTAAAATAACTCTTGTCTTTGATAGAAGCGAATGGTGCTGATTTTATACAAGGATCAATGGACATTACAAATAGAATGCTGACCGTATCTGTATTTTCTAAAGCACTTAAAGCAAGTCCGAGAGCTATGCCTTGTTCCATACTAGTGGATAAAAAGTTATTGAAAGATATTAAACACCCTTTTGTTCTTTGCAGTTTTTCGAAATTTGCTTTGGACAAACCTTGTCCGCGATAGACTGTGAATGGTTTGCCATGATCAATATTAAACTGTTGTTGATGTAGTTGATGAATTTGTTGATGCAGGTGATGAATGAAAAAACCCATATTAATAATGGTATCACTTTCCATAGAGCGAAGAGCATAATTCAGCGTAGAATAGATAAATAAGGGAGAAGTATACCACCAAATAGCTGATTGAGTATAGTATTCGTTTTCAAATTTATCAATACTGTTTGCCGATCCGCAATTATGTTGTCGACAATAAGTTGTAAACTGTGTAATGGCCTGTTCATCGTAATCCATATCAAGAAGAATATCCTTGAATATTTGGGTATACATAAAAGTTGGCTCCAACTGATTTAAATCATCAGTTGAAGTCATTTCATTTACGGTGACAAAACTCATAGCAATTGAGTCTTGATTGTACTTCTTGATATCCATTTGTAATGACTGGCACAGATCTTTAATTTTAGTATGAACGCTTTTGATTTTTCGCCAGTTTTTGGTCCATTCTTCATTTAAGGGTTGAAAGTTACTGAAGATATAAACACCATCCAACTGAATAATATCATTAATGAGGGGTATAATTTGTTGAGCGATAGTGTTCTCGACAACAAGAAAAGATTTGATGTCTTCATTATCGGAAATATAGTCGACGCATTCATCTCTCTGTGTAAAGACGTTGACATTATCGGCATCGGTTTGTATTTGTGTCAAAATATGTTTGTAGTCTTTGTTTGTTTCATCCATAGACTCATATAACCAAATTAGTAGATGATCTTGTACGATACGTCTTCGTCGTTCGATACTATTAGGTACTGTGTCCATTTCGTGTACTATGTCGGTTTTTCAATTAAATATATAAAAGTGAAGGAGATGAATAAACTATGTTATTTATATGAGTAAGGAATCTCTCTATGTAAAGAATCGTACGGCGCTGTTGTCTATCTTTATATGTTTATTTAGATTATTTATAGTCGAATTTTGTCTTCTATATCGTTTCATTTACGCTATAGAACCAGGTAACGACAAAGGACGAAAAAAACAAGAATTTATTTTTTTTTCAACTTTCCTCAGAGATAAGAGATAATATTGTCAATAACAAAAAAAAACATATTTTCTCGGTAAATAAAACACATTAAAAGTCTCGCAGCATTTTCTGTTGTGTTGGAATTGTATATTGTGGTTACACAAGAATACAAATCAAATGATCGTATTTTTCTTTGTGAACGATCAATAATATCTACTCAATTTTGTGTACATATTATTTACAAAAAGAGTAAATAATAATGAATATTAAACTTATTGTTTGATAAATTAATAATTTATTCAATATTAGAATCATAATTAAAACAATAGCAGAAGTACTCGCCGTTACAGGAAAATTGAGGATATAAAGGGTGTAGCTTATTTATCTTACTTACACTCATCCTCAAGATTTTTGATGATTTCTTCTAATGTTTGCATTCGAATCAGAAGGTTGAGACATATTGGATATTCTTAGTCAAAGGTTACTCTAATAATCGCTCTACTAAATTTTTCTTCCAGAACAGGATCAACGACTCCGTTGGATGAGCGCTAGCTTGTTTGACATCGATGAAAATTTCTTTCCTTATTTTTAGATAAAATGTTTTCAGTCTACAAAAAAAAACTTGTCTAAATATTATTATGTATTTAATATATGTCAAATAATTTATTCAATCAAATATAGAAATAAAAAAAAGGTTTGAGAAATAAATTTCCTACGAAGATATTTAAAACGAATAAATAAATTCATAATAAGTAATAGGATATTTCGAAAGAGGTTGTATCAACAATCTTATTTATTCGATAAATATTTTTCTCGATTTTGTTTTCTAGTAAAAGAAGATGAAAAATTTTCCAGTTCTAATTCTAATCAATTCTAGAATACGTACTTGACAGTGTCATTTCATTTTTCCATCGAATAGTCTCATCATAAAAATTCGACATTTATATATAATCATCAAGCCCATTTATTATTAACAAACTCTTTCGTATAAGATCAAACTTTTCTATAAATAACAACAGCCGAAACAATGTTTAGTAGAATCAATAGAGCTGTACATAATAGAATTTTTACTTGTCATTTACGTTTACTAAGATATTGTCGAATCGATAATTCTTCGCTTTCATTATCACATCCAATACTTAATCGATTTTGTTTAACAATTTCACTTGAAATTGGACATGAAATTGAAACTCTCTATCATGAAGGAACATCGATAGAATATGTTCTTCATCCTACAAATTATCCTAATTTAAATAATGTTGGTTTATGTGTTATTGACGACAAACTAGCTATGTCTTTCTGTTCTGATAAGAGACTTTCTTTAATTAATTGATTTCAGTGTAGAATTTGAATTAGTTATTCGAAAGCAGAATAATTTATTTTCGAACATATAATTAGTTAAATTAAATATTCAAGAATAAACATTTACTATCTGAAACATATTCTTTATAAGTACATCGTTATAAGAACACGAATTTAATCATTCTTCATTTGTATAAGCAAAAACAAAGATATTGATAATAAATTTGATTGAAATTTTTCATGGTTAGTAGAAACATTAGCGGTAATCAATAATATATATATATTGCAGCTTATTAACTTTTTCTTCATCATATGAAGCCTCGTTCACCACTAATACAATTCAATTCCACATAAGTTATTCGTCTTTTATTATAGGGAACATTCTCGTAAGGAATCAGAAATGTTAATGTCTGGGGATGTCTTTTAAACACATACACATGCATACGTATTACCTTATCAATCGGCTTCGTCCATTACGTTTTTAATATTTACAGAGTTGCTCTCTCTACGCGTGCCACTGAAAAATAGAATTAATTCAAAATAAGTGAACAAAACATTCTTTTATTTATTTATTTACTAAATACTCTTTATTATTTCCTTTTTTACGATTTCAATACTATTTTTCACATTTTTAATATGAGGATGAGTTGAAGGTAATGCACATTGCCATATATTCAGAGCACGTTCATAATATGAAAGTGTTTTGGAATAGTCTTTCATATTTCTATAAACCCAACCGATGTTATTGTATGAAGTAGCCAGATCAGGATGATTTGAAGGAAGAGTTTTTTGAAAAATTTCAAGTGCTTTTTCGTGATATGAAAGAGCTATCGGGTAGTCTCCCATCTTGTTATACACCAAACCGATGTCGTTGTATGAAGTAGCCAAAGAAGGATGGTTTGAAGGAAGTGTTTTTTGATCAATTTCAAGTACTTTTTCGTAAAACGAAAGTGCTTTCGAGTACTCTCTAATACTGGAATACACACTACCGATGTTGCTGTACGAAGCAGCAAAATGAGGATGATTTTGATGAAGAGTTTTTTTATAGATTTCAAGTGCTTTTTCGTAAAGTGAAAGTGCTTTCGAGTAATCTCCCATCTTGTCATACATCAAACCGATGTCGTTGTATGAAATAGCCAAATGAGGATGATTTTGATGAAGAGTTTTTTTATATATTTCAAATGCTTTTTCGTAAAATGAAAGTGCTTCCGAGTACTCTCCCATCTTATCATACATCAAACCGATGTCGTTGTATGAAATAGCCAAATCAGGATGATTTGATGGAAGATTTGTTTTTAAAATTCCAAATGCTTTTTTGAAAATTGAAAGTGCTTTCGAGTACTCTCCCATGTTATCATACACATTACTGATGTTGCTGTATAAAGTTGCCAAATGAGGATCATTTGAGGGAAGAGTTTTTTGACAAATTTCAAGTGCTTTTTCGTGAGATAAAAGTGCTTTCGAGTACTCTCCCATCTTGTCATACATCAAAGCGATATTGTTGTATGAAACAGCCAAATTAGGATGATTTGATGGAAGATTTGTTTTTAGAATTCCAAATGCTTTTTCGTAAAATGAAAGTGCTTTGGGACACTCTCCCATGTTCTCATAGACATTACTAATGTTGCCATATAAAGTAGCCAAATGAGGATGATTTGAAGGAAGAGTTTTTCGATAAATTTCAAGTGATTTTTCGTAAAATGTAAGGACTTTGGAGTACTGTCCCATCATGTTATACGCAGTACCAATGTTGTTATACGAAGCAGCCAACGAAGGATGATTTGAAGGAAGAGTTTTTTGAAAAATTTCAAGTGCTTTTTCGTAAAATAAAACTGCTTTCGAGTGCTCTCCCATGTGGTTATATACATTACCAATGTTGTTGTATGAAGTAGCCACATCAGAATGATTTGAAGGAAGAAATTTTTGCAAAATTTCAAGTGCTATTTTGTAATATGAAAGCGCTTTCGAGTACTCTTCCATTTTGTCATACACACTACCGATGTTGCTGTATGAAGTAGCTAATAAAGGATGATTTAATGAACGAGTTTTTTGATAGATTTTAACTCCTTGTTGGTGATACCAAATAGCCTTTTCATAATCACCCTGCTCATCTTTGACATATCCCAGTCGATTATAATAATACTGCTTTTCATCCTCGTGAGATGTCTGTTCAATTAATACATGATATAATTCTTCAGCTTTATTAAATTGACCAATTTTAAGCAATAAGTCACCCAATCTCTGCCATCCAGTACTACCACCAGCTTCCTCTCGTATCCGATCAGTAAGCAATCGCAGTTGTTGATCATCATCCGACGTTAATTGTAGTTCAACTTGATAAAGTTGATTGTTAATGTCCATCACTTTAATTGCTCCCACTCGAAAGACGGTGTGCATTGAGAAGAGAATTTCTTCTTCATCTTTAAAATAACTCTTGTCTTTGATAGAGGCAAATGGTGCTGATTTTATGCAAGGATCAATGGACATTATAAATAAAATGCCAACCATGTCAGCGTTTTGTGACGCACTATAAGCGAATCCAGAAGCTATCTCTTGTTCGGTACTAGTGGATAAAAAGTTGTTGAAAGACATTAAACCACCTTCTGTTTTTTTGAGTTTCTCGAAATTTGATTTGGATAGACCTTGCCCACGATAGACTGTGAATGGTTTGCTATGATCAGTATTAATCTGTTGTTGATGTAGATGATGAATCTGTATATGAAGATCATGAATAAGGAAACCCATATTAATAATAGTATCGGCTTCCATAGAGCGAAGAGCATAATTCAACATAGAATAGATATATGATGGGTAAGTATACCACCAAATAGCTGATTGAGCATGATATTCTTTTTCAAATCGATCGATATTGATTGCCGATCCGAATTTATTTTGTCGGCAGTATGAAGTAAATTCTGTAATGGCTTGTTCACCATGTTTCATATCAAGAAGAATATCCTTGAATATTTGAGTGTACATAAATGTTGGTTCCAACTGATTCAAATTATCAGTTGAATCTATTTCAGTCACTGTTAAAAAACTCACAGCAATCGAATCTTGATTGCATGTCTTAATACACGATTGTAATGATTTGCATAAGTCATTGATGTTGCTATGAACACTCTTGATTTTTTGACATTTTGTTGTCCATTCTTCTTGCAGGATTTCAATATCACTGAAGATATAAACACCATCCAACTGAGGAACATCATTGATGAAGGGTATAATGTGTTGAGCGATAGTGTTCTCGACAACGAGAAAAGATTTGATGTTTTCATTATCGGAAATAAAGTCGACGCATTCATCTCTCTGTGTAAAGACGTTGACATTGTTGGCACCGGTTTGTATTTGTGTCAGAATATGTTTGTAATCTTTGTTTGTTTCATCCATAGACTCATCTAACCAAATTAGTAGATGATCTTGTACGATACGTCTTCGCCGTTCGATACTATTAGGTACTGTGTCCATTTCGTGTATTATGTCGATTTTTCGACTGAATAGATGAAGTGAAAGAGATGAATAAGCTCGATTATTTATATGAGTATGGAATATCTTTGTGTAAAGAATAGTACGGCGCCATTGTCTATCTTTACATGTTTATTTAGTTTATTTATAATAGAACTTTGTCCTCTGTATCCTTTCATTTACGCTATTGAGCCAGGTGACGACAAAGGACGAAAAACAAAGAACTCATTTTTTTTCAACTTTCCTCAGAGATAAGAGATAATATTGTCAGTAACAGAAAAACACATTAAAAGTCACGCTGCATTTTCTTTTGCGTTGAAATTACATATAAGGACACAAACTAAATGATCGTGTTTTTTTTGTAAACGATCAAAAAATCTATCCAATCTTGTACACATATTATCAACAAAAAGAGTAAATAACAACAAATATTAAATTCATTGTTCGATAAATTAACAATTTATTCAGTATTAGAATCATAATTAAAACTAGCAAAACTACTCGCCGCTACAGGAAAATTGAGAATATGAAGGGTGTGGGTGTATCTTATTTATATCACCCACACCCACACCCTCAGAAAGGCACATAATATAAGATCTTGTTTTACTATTTGTCATTATCTTTTTCAGAGATAATTAATAGGTGGAGACTTACTCCAATGTCATTCTCAGAGACGACTTTTTGTTTTTCTAAATCATCGGTCCTTCAAAATTTGGAGCTTCGTATGACATTTCTCAATTGAGTAAAGGAAGTACTGAAGTTATATTTTACTAAGAATGATGTAACTCTTAACTTTAATGAAGTCTACCATAATGTTTAGTCATTATCGATTTGATAATTATCTAACTAGTAGTTGGATAATAGTGAAAATTTTTATAAAAATATTGTGCAATATATGATAACAATGATCTTCAACTTGGTAACAAATATTATGATAGGATGAAGTATTTTTATTCAGTTACCGATCACTATTTGAACTTTTTCATATAATAAAACATTTTACATATGTCATCGATCCATTAGAGTTAAAGAAATATTACTGATTTTCATCTATCGAATCACTACTACTTCGTATCTTTTCATTATTACGTGAAATTTTCTTCATAACTCCTTCAACTTCAAGAAATATTTCTTAATGTTCATATAAAGATATGATATGAAGAGAACAATGTAAATAGATATATCTCAATCTAAGCATCTTATCTGGAACAATTTTTTAGTTTGATAAGAAGATTAAGTGTAAAAAAAAGAAATTGAATAAAATACTTAATAAAATATTCTTTACGATAAATCTGTCAGAAGAGAAAAAAATTGACAGAATGAAAGAAAAGTATGAACAAATGAAACAGAAAAAAAAGGTGCCTAGAAACATCTGCATGTATTGAGTTGCGTCGATAGTATCTCCATGTTAACGGGCAAATGCACATACATATATTGAGCAATCGGGAAGAATACAAATACTTTCAATAGAAAATGAACGACAACGAAGAAGACGATACTATTAATGACAATGGTATAGAAGAATCACTCCAAGACATGATTCAATGTCCAGCATGTCAACGACGAATGCGTTCAGATGTTTATTCTAAACATCCAAATGTTTGTCGTGAAAATCTAACAAAAAAACGTAATAGAAATATATTTGATATGACACAATATCGTTCAATAAGATCAGGTGACAAAACTATACCAGTGCATAAACTATCATCAATCGATGAAAAAAAATCAAACAATAATAAAAACAACGATAACAATCTTAATAATATACGACCATCTCAAACACGTAGTGCAAAACGTGATCGTCGATCGGATACAGTTATACCTCCTATTATCAATAATTTCTGTATGTAAATAAATTAAATATTTTAAAGTATATCAGATATATTTTTGAAAATGAACCTGAAAAGTATAAAAATTAATTTTATTCGAAGTAATACTCTTGAAACAAGGTCAGTTTGTATAAACATAATCTTTCTTTCATCATAAAATCTTACTGAACACATAGCAATCACCTCGAGACATAGTAACTTCAGTTCAAATAAAAATCTTATTTTATTTTATTTTAGGTTGTCCAAATTGTAAACGTACATTTTGTGAAAAAGCATATGATCGTCATGTTACATTTTGTTCAAGTAAATTAAAACAATTACAACAACCACCATCCGAAGAAACACTTCTTGCTCGATTGAAACTTGATCGTCGTATTAAATTCAGTTCAAATCGTATTGTTTCAACACTTTCTCATACATCACCTGTCGTTACTACACCTATTCAAACTTCTAATATTAATAAACAAATATCATCATTGCCAAATGAAGCACTTTGTCTATTATCAATGCGAAAAAAACATTCAGATACATTAGCACGTTGTCCATGGTGTTCAAAACCGTATATGCCTAATTGTATACATTATTGTAGAAATTCAAAAGAATTATTTTCAATTCATTCAAAAATAAAAAATATAGTCTAGAAATCAAGATTAATTTTACTATGAAATAGAAAGAATTTATTAGTATTTGAGTAAATGTTCATTCATTTAGTGAATAATAGACTTCTTCAAGCCTTACAGTTGAAAATAAATATTGAAGTTACAATAACAATTAATTGATCAACTTCTAATCCATTAGTATCGGCTAGAGTGTTAATTGTATTTGTATAAAACACTGTTACGATACTTATATAGACACAATCGATATTTCTTTTATTTGAATCATATTCTCATAATTGTTCTTGTGTAAATTTTATCTTTTAAATGATTTATAATCAAACCACCAATAACAATCGAAATAAAAATTGTAAATAGATCAAAATGATCTATAGTTAATATATTAATTTGTTTCATTCTAGAAATCAAATAAGAAAAAAAAATGAAACTATTTGTTTTCCATACTGATGCACGGAGATAATATGTTTATACAAAAAGAAAAAATGGTAGGAAGGAAAATACAAGTCGTAATATATAGTCTAACAAGGGACAAAAAAAACAAACGGAAAGGATACTGTAGAAGTTGAATATGTCTATCGAGTTTCCATTGGCATGGGAATGCTCTTGATGTAATCTTTAGTTTTCTTTTCGTATTCACGTTCAATTGCCCATCCTTTAAGATCAACTTCAGGATGACGACGCATCCAAATCATATGATGTTTTTGTTTCATATAAGCATCAATACAACTATGTGGTACACCCATTTCACCATATTTTTGATACCAATTAGCATGTGATTCAAATAAAGCATCTTTTTCTTTTGCACATTTATCTAATGCATCAATACGACCCTCATATGCAATACAACGTGTTAAACGATCATGAAGAATTTCAACAATCATTGTATCAATACGTTTTTCACGTAAAAATGACATTTCAGCTTCATAAAAACATATTTGATCTTGAATTTCACATTGATCAATTGTTTTAACTGTACCAAATTTACGATGATAATATGGATAAGCTGATCCACGAAAACGTTCGACGAAATTTCGATGAAACCATCGAACAGGACGTAAATAAAGCATATCAATAGTTGTATAACCAAGATCAGACCATTTATTAAGTCCATAGACATGTTCCGGTGGTGTTGGTTCTGGCATTTTAATTCTAAAAACAAAAAAAAACAAACAAAAATAAATTTTTCCAATACTGTAGATCATCAATCGGCTTTTTTTTGCAAGCAAAAAAAACAGGTGGACATGTTCGGTTATATGTGGCTATACTAGCGCTAGTTTATTCTGATTGGATGTAGCGCTACATATTGATTATAATAAAGTGAAAAATTTTCAAAAATCTAATTTTATTCTAAAAGAAAAATTAGATTTTAGATTTTTGATCCATAGAATTTTATATATAACATAAAATCAGTTATAAAAGTTGTAATTAGCTACGATAATCAACCAATCAAATAAATTAAATTTACTGAAATATATCGGTTGCATAAATGAAACTTTGTAGTACTATCATCAATTAAAAATCTAAATGCAATTTCATATGATAGAAACAATTGATAATTATTCAAATTATATCATAACAATTTGCTATAGAAATATTGAATTAACTTTCATTTAAATCAATTGAAGAAGTAGAGACAAAACTATTTAAAATATTACGTGGAGGTGGTGGCTCAGCATTAAAACTGAAAACAATGCATTGGTGGTACTAATGCTAATTTAATGCATAAATCGATATTAAATGTTTCCTTTACAATAAGAAATCTGTGCATTATTTTCATATTAATGCTAAGCCATCACTCCTAATGTTACGTTAATTCACAATGAATTCAATTTTTAATAATTGTTTTTAGTTTGAAGCTTGTAGTCTCAGTTGTACGATATCTTACACTGGGTTCGTTCAAATCAGAGCAGAAACTATCAAGATTGTCGACACTTCGACAAAAACTTGATTTTGTGCCACTAGTTCTATTCAGAGTACTAGAAAAATTATGCTGAGTTACAGTGATCAAAAAATTGACGTCTTTACTTCTTCTTTTATCTCGACCCGATGAAAACAAGAAATACTTATTTATTCTCGCCCACTCAACACTAATGTATAACTACGATCTTTTTACTCCTTATTCACTTATCAAAAAAAAATGTTCTTTATAATTTTATCAGACAGATTTATTAGGATTTCATTTCAAATTTGATCTTTAATGATTATATTACACTAAGCATTGCTTACTCTAAAATATCACCTTACTTAATCTGTTTATTTTCAACGCATGTTTTCTTCAACATATAAATTTAATCATATTAAACAAACAACTAAAAATATCTTCATTTCATTACAACTTATATTAATTTTTCTTGTACTCAACCAATTTCTAAATTAGTTTATAATTTATTAAAACCTACGCTATGTAGGCAAGGATTATTTTCTTCAACATCTGTTCGTCTTATATTCCATATTGTAAAAGTGATCTTAATCCGCTTTCTGAGCTCAATATTCACATTAAAAAGTCTGAAAATAGTTACAATTACTGCAAATACTCTTTAATATTTTTGTTCATTATATTTAAGAATTATGTATAAGCACTCATATTTCTATACGAGAAAAACTTCATTCTGTCAATTTCATAAATCAATTTTATTTTGACGAAAGCAAAAAAAATCATTTCTAATGTATTTCAATGACATATTCTAAAACGACTCAAATAAAGATAGACATATTATTATTGTTTTCAGTCGTTCGCAATTCTACGTTTTAAGAATTCAATGGCAAAATAGAATGTACTTTGACACCACGTACGATTATACTATTTTTATGTTTCTTTAATTTGTATTTATAATAGTCGGAGAGAGAGAGAGAAAGAAAGAGAAAAAAGACATTGACCGTTCATTTTTTATATGACATTTCCTTAAGTAAAGTGTTTCGTAACACGCATATTTACAAGAAAAAATAAATAATCATCGCAACATATATACTTATTTTTCATTTCGATTATTATCATGAATTATCAAAGACAAATCCTTCTTCTTCTACTTTTTGTACAGGTTAGTCTTGACAAAAGTCTTAACACTTTCATAACATTATTTATATTCTATTAGACAGTTCATTTACTTGAAACATGGGATGAATCTTCATCTGATATATGGTCAACTCCACCACCATATTTCAAAGATGTTGATGATCATAATGATAATGATAATATGAATGAAGATGATCTATCTGAAGAATTCCTGCCTGTAACATATAAACTAAGACAAGCGTTAGCTGGTTATGCTTATTTTAATCATCACGATCGAAGAAAAAAATCTAAACTTGAAACACCAAAAGTACAAAATGAAAACTATTTACAAGGACTTTGGACAATGCCCGGACGACGACGACGTTAGTCATTGAAACAGTCATCGATATGAGAAAAAAAAACATCAGTTTCCTGTATATTTTTTAAATACAGAACCTAGAAAATAAAAATAATAAAAAAAAAGATAAAAGTTGGAAGAAAACAGATGCTTTATATTCTCATTCGCAATACTAAGGATAATAAATACGATTGATATCGAAAAGAAAGATTTACTTTTGATTCATAATACTAATAAAAAATAAGATGACATCCATTTTATTCATAGCATTTATTTCATTATTCGGATTATCTAGTGTATATTCAAGTGAGTATTTAATTGAATCATTAATTATCTAATTAAAATCTATATAAACAGATATAGCCGATTTCGACTGCTTCGAACGAGTTGATCCTGGTCCAGGTCGTGCATACTTTGAAGTATATGGTTGGAACGCACAGAATAAAACATGTACCAAATTTATTTATGGTGGTGCACTAGGTAATCGTAACAGATTTGAAGCAAGTGAAGAATGCCTTCAATCATGTCATGATGCTGTTTTAAGTACGTTTTGTATTATTTTATAATGTAAATTATTCTTGAAATTTTTTAGGTAAACAATTACATTTCAATCCAACTCGTCGTTATAGTGCAGTAAATCGTTTACATGAACAATTTCAAATTGCATTAAATTTAGAACAAGTTGAAAATGGTTATTTTAAATTGATTGCTCAACCTGATGGAAAATTACTAAGCGTAGTTATTCCAAATGGAAAACCAAGTATTGAAATACAAGATTTTACTGGTGAAGAAACACAATTGTGGGATATTATTCCAACAGGTGAAAAAGATTATTATAGAATTAAAACACGATCTAAAGTATTCGATCGTATGGATTTCATGTTTTTACAAGTTACAAATGATGATCAAACACAAGTTAATTTAGCTAAACGTGATAATTCGTATCTTGGTCAACAATGGCGATTTATTTAATGTGTTTAAGAAGAAAAAAATAAAATATATAAAATTTAAGTTTTTTATGTTTATTAAATAAACTTTCGTTCACGTCACGATATTTATTCATTAATTATCATTTAATTCATAATTACGATAATATTTGCTTGTAACTTTGAGTAATAAAAAATAAAGACCTTTACATAGTTACTAATGATAGTTCGCTGATGTGTGCAAGGATGTTTTTGTTATTGTTATTGAATTTCGATCATTCGGCTTAACTTCTGTCATGCATTTTTTGTATTTCAAAATTTATCTTTTGTCGCTCTTCTCTTTTATTACTATTATAGTAAACTATTGTAGATAATGACCTTGGATTTCAAATACAATATTAGAACACGTATTTTTTTCTCTCTATATCATATAATTGAACACGTATAAATACAAAACTTTAAAAATTTTAAGGTTAACGGAAATAAGACATCTAAGTTCGTTTAATGAACAATTATAGACGTGTATAATAGACTTTGATTATATTTTATATAAATTCACTATTAAAAGTCAAGGCTAAGATTTAGCTGTAATATCTTCAAATGTTTGTCATTATGTCGTGAATATCGTATATAAAGCGACATTCTTTCACGTATAGATTTAATCCTAATAAGATAGAGAGAGAAAAAAGATAGAGAGAGGGAAGCTCCGACTTCTCAACATATAAACGACGTTTATAACTGCAAGTTAATCGACATTTTGGATTTTATTACTTTATATTTCATTTCTTGAATCAATACGAAAGAATCGTTGTACAAATATGCGTTTTAGTTTAGTACTCTTGTTATGTCTTGTTATTGTTGTAGTCAATTCGGCTACAACAAAAACAACACGTCGTCGTGTTGTAGTCACGACTGGACGAGGTACAACTAAAGCGCCAGTACCTAAATCAGCTTATGCTTATTTACGTTCAGTTCGCGGTAAAAATTCTTGTTCAGGTGGTTCATGTCCCTTCTGGGAACGACATGGACGTTCGTTTGCAGCTCTTCGATGTTATTCACAACAATATCAAGAATGTACATGTCTTCATCGCATGTGTTTTAGTTCATGTATGTTTTCACGTGAAGTTTGTAATCAAGAAATGGTTTCATGTTTACGACAAATTTGTCCAAGATGTATGCCAGCATCTGCAACAGCTATGTGTGCTGTTTATGATTCAATGGCTGGACAAGTAGCTGAAGCACTTTCAGTGTTTGCTTGTTATCCATGTTGTCCTACTTTTAATAATGTACCTACTAATAATAATGCAGCTACCAATAATTCAATTAGTAAGTGATATCTTAGGATTGTTTTTGTTTAAATTTCTTTTTTTCTTTTAAAGATGCACAATCAACAACAACTCGTAAGTGATCATTGTTTTATTTTTCGTAGAGTTTTACATTTAAAATAATGTTTTGGTTTTTCTTCTTTCGGAAAGCTGCATTTCCTGAAAGCTCAACAACAATTCCATTCGGTATGAACAACGGTTAGTCAATATATTATACCATAGAACAAAACTTTACTTGTTAATATACAATAGGTATAGTCGATCCAATTAATGGCCAAAATCCTGAAGAAGGTTTATCAAATATAAAATATCCTTGAAAAATAATTATATATTTATTTTAGTACCTGAATTTAATCCTATTGATAACGTTCAACCCGGTACAGGTAAGAATAATCACTGTCTTATAGTTTTCTATTTCTAGTTTTATTTTTGATTCATAAATATCTCTTTCTTTCAGAAAATTTTCCAGGAACAAATGTTAATAGCGGTAACTATATATTAAAATTTTTGATAAGAAAATATTATGAATCTTTACATAGGTTCTAATCCAACAAATAATGTAAATGGTGGAGGTAAATTTTTTTTCCTTTGTCTATATATATACATAAAAATTTACATCTTTATACAGTGACAGTTTTGAACTGTGAATTTAAAATAACTATCATATATATTTATTTCTAGTCTTTAATAATGGAAATGGGGCTTCTAATACAAATAGTAACGGTAATTTAAACAGCAATGTCAATCCAAATGGAATTCCTAATGGAAACTTTAACACAAACCCAAATGGAAACTTTAACGCAAATCCCAACGGAAACCCTAATGGAAATTTTATCACAAACCCAAATGGAAATTTTAACGCAAATCCAAATGGAAACCCTAGCGGAAACTTTAACACCAATCCAAACGGAAATTTTAATGCAAATCCAAATGGAAATCCTAATGCAAACTTTAACACAAATCCCAATGCAAATCCAAACGGAAATCCAAATGGAAATCCTAACGGAAGCCCAAATGGAAATCCTAATGGAAGCCCAAATGGAAGTCCTAACGGAAGTCCAAATGGAAGTCCTAACGGAAGTCCTAATGCAAGCCCTAACGCAAATCCAAATGGAAATGGTGCTACAAATGGTAACGGTGTCAGCAATAGCAATAGTAACGGTAATGGCTGTAGAGTAAACTGTATGAAATGAATTTATTTTTACAATCATTCAATACATTTTTATAGGTAATATTGCTAGTAACTATCCTGGTATAGTTTTTCCTGGAAGTGATGCAATGTTCTACAACAACAACTTTCCTAATCGAAATCAACAAGTTATAAAACAACGAGGACGACAAACTGTACGAACAACAAAACGTCGTTCAGCAACAACTCGTCGAATGACTCAAGCAAGCGCTACTGTTCGTGGTAATAATATTAAAAATGGTGTTCGTAAACCGGTGCAAGCTGAAAAGAAACCACAAACAAATAATCGTACCAAAAGTTAACTTTCAATATGATACATGCACACATATGTTTTTATTTCTTATTTTTCTTTTTAAATAAAAGAATTCTTGTAAAATTATGAGTAGTTTTGTAATGTATTCATTTTTACAAGATGCAATTCCTTCTTCTTCTTCTTCTTTTTTTTTTGTTGCTCCATACGAATACACATATACATGCTGCACAGAAACATTCTTGTAATATAAATTTATTGAAGCGTTAAGGCAATAATGTATATGCCCACGCTTTTGCGCGTCATCCTCCTTTTCTATATATTTCTTTTTGGATTTTTCTTTTCTTCATTTTCTAACCTTGCGCTTATTTATTTCATGCAAACAGATACATAGTCATACATGCATCGATTACACATTCTCACACATGTAGAGGCATGTTGTTTCGCTGTTCCTGACATATAAAAATGGCCAAGTCATGGTTTTATTTATGAGTGTATCGATGATAGTCAGCAAATATCATCATTATCATCATGCTGCTTGCTGACGTGTGACGCGTCCTCTGCTCGCCTTTTTATGCATTGTATAATTCGTTGTTTCTATTTTTCTCTTCCTCTCTCTTTAAAGTGCTTTTTACAACTTCGCCATACAACACAAACGTACATTAGAATATTTGCTTACAAGCAATCGGACAGCAAAAGACAGAGAGAGAGGGAGAGAGAGGGGGAGAGACAGAGGCAGAAAAAAAGACATAGAGGACGACGATAGAGAGAAGAAGAGACAGCAACAAAATTAAAACATCCTCATTGAAGCACATCAAGGTAGAAAAGAAAGGCTTTTTTTTGTATTTCTTTCTTTTTTCTTCTATTCTCTTTCTTTTCCGTACTTCTTGAGTCCAGTTGTTGTTTGTTGTTGACAATCATTATAATCATTGAGCTCTATTTTAACGTTGTTGTTTATATGAATTCCTTCTTTATTTTAGAAAATAAAAGAGAAACCGCCTGCCGATCTCTAAGTTATGTTTCAACAATCAGGCGGCTTTTCAGGATCGCGAGCACGTGCGTAAAATTTATCTTATACCCTTTTGCAATAATTGGACACAAATTTTCTTTAATTTTATCTTTATAGGATATGTGCCTAACGTTTCTGCTTCACGAGGTGTTTACCGAGGTTCATATGCTCGACCATCAGCCCGATATGCTGCTCGACCTGTTCTACGACCAGTAGTTCCAGCTGGCCGAGCACCCGGTGGATCTGGTATGCTTGCAGCCATTCTTGGACCCATTGGAGGTCTTACCGGATGTTTATGTTGTCTCAATACAATCGGTGTTTGGGGTCTTTTCATTACGGCTATTCCATTAACTGTCTTCATCAGTAAGTTATCTTAATGTATTTTTTTTGTCTATTGCTAAACTATGAATTTATTCTTATTTATTCAAGGTCGATGGTATCGTGATTATAAAAATCGTAATGGACAAAATGGAGCTGAGGAACTTCTTGCTCCACATATGCTTCTTATGTTACTCCTCGTATGTTCGTTCCTGTTCACGTTCATGCGTCGCTCATAAGTCAATAAACGACGACTTGATCTTTATTCTATATATGGTGTTATTTATTTATAAAACACATACACATATACAAACACAATAAATGGTTTAATTTTTTTTGTTCATATTCTCTTTTTTTTTCTTGTTTCGCAACACAACGAATTCTTCCTATTTTTTTTTCTTGCGTATGACATATTGGAACTTGCGCGCGATTGAACCTTTTTTTTTCTCTAAAAACAGTAATAAAAATGACAACGACGACGACGATAACGACGACAAAACATTATCAATAAAAACATAAATCTATATGTTTCGATAGCAAATAAGGCGATGTTCAATATTTTTTTCATTTTTATTTATCTATTTTTTGTTTTTTGTCCTCAAATCACCAAAAGTATTTCAAATAAAAAAAACGGACGTCACTTATTGTTTAATTTAATTTTAAGCATAATCAAATCTAACAAAAAAAAATATCATATACATATCAATATCATTCTATTGATGACCTTGAAATAATAATAGACAAAACTATTGTTTTAAACTCGATTAAAATTCATGATTTTAAGTGCAAATCTTTCTTTTTTTCGATTTGTAATTGTTTACATTCTTGGACTTTCATTTACTTTTCTTCCCTATTCGTCATCATCATGGTTATTCATATAATTTTGTCATGCATGGTTTCCGCACAATATTCACGTCTTTCTTTATGCTTCTATCAATATGTCTGTAAGTGGTGTTTTTTTCTTTTTTTTGTTCGTTTCTGTCTTTTTTCTTTGAGGTTGTTAGTTATGGCTGTCCATGGATGAATGCGCACAACGACGAAAAAAAGAAATGTTTCGTCTTTTCTTTTTTTTTTGTCATTGATTTCGAAAGCATTTACTAATATGTTGCTTCCTATATAGAAACTACCTTGAGTCGACGGGTATGCCTGACACAAGAAAAAAAGAGAAGAGAGGGGGGAGAGAGAGAGAGAGTGAAACCTGTATTGCCCACGTCTAGAAGAAGAGTATATTCGGAGAGAACACCGAGCTTTTTCTCCTTCGTATAGATAGGTTGATAGTATGAAAACAAACTTATTTATTTTTCGTACATGGTCCCTTTTTCTTCTCTTCTCTCTCTTGTCTTCTCTAGTCGAACTTCGTTTGTATGTTAGAGAGAGAACTATGTATACGAAAACAGGGAGAAAGTAAACAAATTTGATCTTTACAAATAAATAATATTGTTGAAATAACTTTTATTTTCGAATATATATTTTCTTATTTTTTCTTTTTATTATTATAGATAATAGAGGGTGTATAGGTTGAACACTCAATAATGGCCAATCCTCTAGTCGCTGCGCTCGGTCCAGTAGGTGGTCTTGCAGCATGTGCTTGCTGCTTAATTATTGCTGCTATTTGGGGTCTTTTCGCCACCATGATTGCATTGGCAGTATATACTAGTAAGATATTTATTTGATTTTTTTATTATTTAAAATTTTCTTTTGTCATTTTGTAGAAGAATGGCGAGATGCCATCCGAAGAGCCAATAACATAAGTGGTGCTGGAGATGTACAAATGTTCTTTAGCCATGCTCTACTCCTCTGCATCCTCTGCATATATGGTTATGTTGGACTTCGACGAGCAATCCGCTCAGCTAATTAAAACTAAATATTATAAATAATTGTTAAAAGCGAATATAAAAGTGATATCAAAATAATAATATTAACACCCTTTTTTAAAACATCTGAAACACCACGATTATAAACAATAAAAAAAATACTTTCATATATGATGATGATGTGCTTCAATTTTATTTCAAAATTTTTTTTTTCTTCACTTGTTTTTTTCCTTTTTTGCATTTTTTCTAAACCACCCGTTGTGTAAAAACATGCCAATATATTTATTCAAAACAACAATATATCTTCTTTTTTTCTAACACAAAGACAAAATATTTATATCAGATGCTCATAATACTAACAGTACAACAAAAGTCTATAATGTTGAACTACTCTTACAGAAAGTACAGTTGATACTATCAGTATGAATAATTAATTAATAATTATTACCGTTATATATTTTGTAATTGTCTAATTGAAATCAATTTCGGAAATTATTCATTTAACAATTTCTGATGAAAAAAAAAAATATTTTTGCAAATTTTACGCATGTCTATAAAATTTTGACTCAAAAATGTGTAACAGTGAATGTCTCGGAAGAAGAAAAATGATCAACAAGTTGTTGTAAACAAAGTATTATTTAGTTAAATAGAGCTACAAAACAATTTCAAACATACATAAACAAAAAAATAAATACCCAATAGAGTAACAGCAGGTGAATAGTTACTCATATCAAGAATAAAATAATATGTAGAAGTTTTACGTATCTATAATTGTTGAATTAATAAAATGACAGTCAATTTTGACTATCTTTAATGATGACTTTTTAAATTTTTATCAATAAATTTTTGCTTTAAGCTATACTTGTTATCCACTACACTTTGTCTTCAAAGACACCGACATCTAGTACAAGTTCTTTCTCTAATCTTTTCAATATTTCCTTTTTCTATTGTTGAAAATAGCTGGTATTGTTTCAGATGTTTGTCAACAAGCATATTATCACCAATATAAGTTAACAATTGTTTAAACAAACAAAAGGATGAACTATATTATTATTTAATGTAATGTTTTGTTGAAAATTATAGATCAAAAGTTATTAAGTCTATTAATCCGATTGTATTTTTTGTTTTTTCCTTCAGTCAACTAAATAAATTCTATCTATCGATTTATTGTAAGTTACATATTGCATATTTATCATCAAAAGAATAATCGCGTGCGTTCATTTTCATTTGATAATTACAGACTCCGTTGTTTAATGTGTTGTATATTATGATGTGGTGATTTTTCTTTTCGTCTTCTTTTTTTGAAGGTTATCGCTTAAGGCAGACACGCATTTGAATGAACAAGTTATACACATGTGCAGTGTTGACCACACCCTTATTTTTAATGCTACTCGTCACCTTACTGCCATATCACTTGTTATAAATCATAAAACTATCTCTTCTAGATACACTCATCGCTTATAAAAGTTATTCGTTGAAACGAATTAACTATATATAAATGGATTAATCGATATAAGAAGCCATATCTATATCGATTTACATTGTGAGCATGATAATCGCGTGCAAACTGACAAGTAACTAAAATAGATGAAGTACATTTAAATATAATTTTCATATGTCAAGAAGTTTTTTTGTCTTTTATATATGAGGGTGAAAGTTTTGTATTGAAATTATTAACTTAATTACGGAAAAGACAAAAAAAAAGTAATCGATAGTAAATACATTCTTTAGAGAGAGAGACAACACTATTGGTGTGAATAACATGCGTGTTAATATCAATCTCTAAGGAGTAGTATGCATGTAGGCGAAACCGATTAGTAATAGGGATGATCAATGAGAGAAAAAAAACGTCGTATTGTTTCTATGAACTTGTCATTAGGGAACTACGAAGAGCGATCGAACTAATTACCAGACTGTTCATTCATCTGGCTAACGTATTTGTCAAATCATGTTTCAATCGGACAATGTCCCTTTACACTCAGGTGTTCAATCTCTTCTGAATAATCATGAAATTTTTTTTCTTCTCTTTCTAACCGATTGGTCGATTAAAAGAATATTGGTGCAACCAGAACAAGAGAGAGAGAGAGAGAAAGAACGAGTCTATAATTTTCAAGATCAAATGTATAAAAAAATGAAGAGAACAGATGAACAAATTTGTGGCGCTTGATTGAGTCGTTCATTCAATCGGCATTCTGCATGCTTTTTCAAGTCTTTCGAATTATCCATTATCGCGATAATACAGACGACCCACTTTTTTTTTCTGCGCCGATACTTGAAAATGTTTATGTATTGTCGGGACAACCTTCATCATTATGTACTACGAGTGAGTTCATATACATATATCTATACACGTGTAAGTAATATATAAATCATATTCGAAATTTTAATCACAGAATGAGTTCTCATGTTAAAGTAATTCTTACTAAGAAATCTGTTGTTATTCTCAAACTTTTCTAATGACATTCATTTCCCTACATACCGTCTGCTTACATACCCAGTATAGATCACGTTCTATGACATTAAATCAATAGGCATCATATGGCTCTATTTGTCTTTACTTGTTTAAAGAATCAGGTTTCTTTGTGTTGTATACCGTTCAAATTATTGATAAATAAACATGTGTTTTATTTTGTTATGATTTGTACTATTTTAATCGAATTGAACCCTAAATATTGTTCTTTCTAGTTTCAATAAGACTTCATTTCTCTCTTCAAGTTTTAATTAAATAAAATCTCTATTTCTTTTTTGATGAGATTTTCTTTTTTTTCTATTGAACAATATCTAAATTGACATTATTCTACTATCGTCGATTAAAGTGCTCTTTGAACTACTCGAATAGTTTGTGTGTCACTTAAAATTCTTAAGTTGAATATGCATTCGTTTTTTTTCTTTCTATTGATATATAATTGTTTTAATCCGTATATTGTATATGAGAATGTCTAAACAAATCAATGAACGTACGTATATACTCGGAAATTGACTGATGGAATAAAAAGCTCTTTTAATCGATCGATCGATAGTGTTGATAGATGACTGTCTCAAGGTTTGACTTCGTCTCAGGATAATAGTTTACTATTTCTTCTTCTTCGTCGTCTCTTTCTCCTCCTTCGTCTTATCTTGTTGAAAGATAAGATTTACATGGAAGATGATGAACATATTTTATGATGACAGACAACATTTGTTGTTGAGTTAGCGAGCGAGAGAGAGAGAGAGAGAAAAAAAAACTTTTTTTTTTGTATTCAATTTGCATATGAACAGTCCGTGGAATAATGTTAGTAAGCAAAGATACACTTGCTCATTTTTAAGTAAGAGAAGAAGAAAAGCTGTTAAAATCCGAAACGAAAATATAAATGAATATTCATATGTGAAGAAGAGACATAGACAGGATAAGTCGATAAAGTGACAACAGTTGACAAACACGTGTTCAATATTGAAATGTTAAACTTTGTTTTTCACAATAGAAAAAGGTGAGATTTCTCAGACTACACAAGAAAAGCTAATTATAACCATTTTATCGTAGATAGAATTCAATTATGAATGCATTTTTTTTTCTTTATGAAATATGAAGTTGCAATTTACAGTAATAAGAGAATTCGTATGTTGTTCATTAATTAACATGCTTTTAGTTTGTCATAAAACATTGAAAGATCAATCAAATTACTTGATCTAGACCGGATGTTTTGCTCATGCAGAAGTTCTTTGACACTTAGAGTACTCTTAAAGTTTCAGTCAAAATAGCACTTGATACACAGCAGCGTCTAATTCTCATAACGATGCGACGCGATCGTTCTTTTCTAAAAACAGGATACCGCATAGTAACTACTATTTTTTATAAGTACTCGCTTATTGAAACTAAATCGTTCATATATTCCGGAAGTCTTATACTTCTTCGTCTTAGTCGCTTACCTTTTTTAGGAAATATTCTCAGCTATTATTTTTTTGTTTCAGATAAAATAATGCTGTTTATAATATATTTAATTTTCTTGTTTGTCTCGTCGATTGATTTACAAACAATAAAACATCTTCATGAAATATCTATTCAAGAAGAATTACCAATTGGTTCAATGGTAACTTCTCTAACTGATAAAGTTCCAAATTTAGATCAATCAATAGAATATGATCTTGTAACACCATTATCAACTGATCTTGATTTATTTTCTGTTGATCATAAACAACATTCACTTATAATAAAAAATCGTATTGATTATGAATATCTTTGTTTAAAGAAAAAACATTGTATTATATCAGTAAGTATAGCTGTTTCAAATGAAGATACAATTGATGTTTATATTTTACCTATTCGTATATTAAACATCAATGATAATATAATTAAATTTCATGTTAATCGAACAGTAATTGAAATTGAAGAAAATGATGAAAATTGGTCGAAAAAAAGTTATCCATTACCAAAAGCATATGATGATGATGGAGATTTAATAACCTATTCAATTTACTTACAAAATTGGAATACACCAGATGGTTTATTTGATTTCGATGAAATTAATTTATTATTAAAACCTTTGAAAAAATTTGATCGTGAAGAACAAAATATTTATCTTCTTCGTCTTATTGCTCATAATCAAAATGATGCATCAACTGATATCATCGTTCTCATAAAAGATCTCAATGATAATCCACCAAAATGTCAACAAAATCATACAATATTTCTTATAACAAATATATCTATTCCATCGATATATTCATTAAATGTCACCGATATTGACGAAGGTGATAATGCGAAATTAGAATATCGTTTAGTAAATCCGTTATCCGGATTTTCTATTGATCGGTATAATGGACAAATTAAATTTGATTATAAAAAATGGATAAATTCAAATCAGTCGGTATTAATCATTAATGTAACTGATCATGGTAAACCTTTACGATTATCAACACAATGTTTTATTGAAATTAAATTTACATCGTTATTTTCTATTGATTTTAAATCGAATAATTCAGTAATCAATCAAACAAATATATCAATAGAAATCGAAAATTTAAATAATCCTCTTGGTTATTTTTTACTTTATGATAAACAAGAAAATAAATTATGTACAAATTGTTTGATACATATAAATTCATCGATAAAAGATTTTTTCTATTTGAATTATTTAACTTATGATTTATATTTAAATTTAAATTCAATTGTATTAATGAAAATGTTAACAAATTATTATATTAATAAGGAAAATATTTCGTTAACTATTCAAATTGATATAACAGATTCGAAAAATCCATCAATTAAATCAACAAAAAATTATTCTGTTGAACTTTATTTCAATAAGATAAATATTTTGATTCATTCGAATATATTTTTTCTTAAAATCCATGAAAATATTCTATTAAATGATAAAATTCCAATATTTAATCGTTATCATCATTGTTTAAATAATCAATCGAATGAATTAATTTTATCGGATTCAACTCATACATTTGAAATTGAAAGAAATTTTCATTTGGTTTTAAAAAAATATTTAAATGTTAAACAACAAAAAATTTATCATTTAACTCTTCAACAAAAAGAAAACAATTCCACAAAAAATGTAAGTTTATCTTTTCAAATCGTAACAAATTTTATACTTGTTGATTAATTATTCATAGAATATGATAATTTTTAATTGAATGTAGATTAAGATATACTGTCTATTGAACTATTTGCTGTGTATAAACAAGGAAATATATACACGATAAAGATTTATCTGATATTTGACTTGATTTGATATCTCTTAGAGCCAACCACTGGTCCCTGCTCTGTGCGAGGTGGACCAAGTCTTGGCAGTTGTAGTTAGACTAGTAGCGTAATCAGGGTGTGGCCAGACCCGTAGCCACGAGAGGGTTCCGAGTGCCCGTGCACCCCCTTTGGTGAAAATAACCTTGAAGGGGAGTACGGAGGAGAATTTTATTGACAAAGCAAAAAATTATTTTCCTGCTGGTATGCACCCCCCCCCCTTGGAAAATTCCTGGCTACGGGCCTGGGTATGGCATGGGTAGGCACCGCTTACTCACCGGACCTGTTCGCCCGCCCACCCGTAATTTTTGAGAAAGCGACTTTTTTATAAGTATTATATAGTATTTTGGAAACCGGTAGGGCGGCGCCTACCCACCCGTCAATCTCTGGTTACGCCACTATGTCACACCATCCTGTAATGTCGTCATCTTCTGGATTCTCCATTCATTCTAGAGAATAGTATGTGTTTTAAAAGTCTAGTATTATCCATTCTGCAAATGTGACTGAACAGCCTTCAGTTTCCTCTTTTAATAGCGTCTATTATTGTTCCTGATGTCAATGTTTCGCACTATATTCTTCGGTAGCACCTCATTTCAAATGCAAGTAGTTTTTGTCAATGTCCATATTTCTGATCGATCACTAATAGAAGTTGTTGTACAATAAAAATATATATCTTGTTTTTTTATTTAGGTGAATGTCTGTTCCGTTCAACTTTATATATATGTTCTGAATCCATATTCAATTGTTAACATTTATCCATATTTTTCTCAATCATTCTATGTTTTATCAAGTAAAAATCTATCTCAATTTTCTCTTCCATTACTTCCATCGTATGTCAAATATATTTCATCAGTACCAAATTTAATATCAGTTAATCCATACAATGGTTCAATTGTAATTCGATCATCATCATTATATTCATTCTATAATTATGATTTTCAAATTGAAGCAATTGATTCCCATGTACCATCATTAAGTAGTTCTATATCAATACGAATTATTTTTGGTATTAATAAACATTCACCTCGTTTAATAATTAATTCAACAAAACAATCTATTGAAGTTTTATCATCAAAATTTCTCTATCAAATTAAAGCTTATGATCCTGATATATTATTAAATGATCAAACAAATTTATTTCCACCGACAATTGAATATGAAATTGAACCATCAATAAATATTGAAATTGAACGTTTTACTGGTCGAATATTTCTTAAAGATTTTAATAAAACAAATATTAATTTTACATTAATTATGACAGATTTTGGTCAACCAAATCGTTTAACAACTCGACATATATTAACATTTGATATACAATCAGATGAAAATATGTCCATATCATTTTTAATAATTATTCTCTCGACATTTCTCATTATTATTTTATTAAGTTTTTTATTAATTCTTATAAATTGTTGTTTAAAAAGACATAAAAATTCATTAAAAACTCAGGAAAAAACAACTTGGAAAAATATTTCACCAACAGCACCAAATAGTTGTTTAATTGATAATGAATATGTAAGATAAAATTCATTCGAAAGATTATTTTTTTCTAAGATTTTTTTTGTAATTTTAGATAACAACACAAACATCATTACCTCGTGTATCTAGTCGTGAACAACGAATTTATCCAACATTTTCTCGTACACATTCAGATAATAATTCTCAACATAATCATCATCGAAGAACATCTTCACATTTATCATTAGATAAAGTTAATCTTCCATATTCATCAGATAAACAAGATTATCAACAACATGTATCAATGACGGATATTAATAAATATTTAGAACGTTTTGAAAAAATCTATAATGATTCATCATCACAACAATATTTACATCAACCTATTGGATCTGTTGTATAAACTTCGTTGAATTTTTCGTTTGTTTTTAATTAATAATAAAAAAAGATTCTTGACAAAATCTATGTATATGTACAAATCCATGATTTTATAATGTGTTATTTCTACAAATAAATAAAAAACGTACAAATAATTAAACTTTAATTTCAAATAGATTGAAGAATTAGGGTGTGGGTGTGGGTGGGTGGGTTAAGAGAAGCTAAATATCCACACCCCACACCCACCCTCAACTCCAAATTTGGAGCTTACTTAACTTGACCCCTTTACTATTATCAGATAACCGCTTTAAAACAGAGCGAATCCTTTCAATCTTTCGAGATCCCAGGCATGACTTCTACTATGAACGAAAGTCATTTCATTACGTACTTTATCAAGATAGAAGTATATATCTTTTCGCGAGCTGCCCCTTGAAACACGTTTTTTTCCATAAGAGGCCTTCTTTGTTAATTATTTTTCAATGAAACACTTTATATCAATACTCTCAGTTTTCAAGGAACACTGTTCAAGATTGTTAGTAATAATGTTTTACCTTCTTTTTTTTGCCACGTTTTTTTTTCTTCTTCATTTTAGCACTAAGTTTCAATATATCAGCGAATACAAATTGATCGATTTTCTCACTAACATTAATCATAATTTTTTTCAGTTTACCTATAAAGAAATAAATATTGTCTAAATGAGATTAAGTAATATATAAATACTTACTTTCTTTTCGATTTTTTAATGCTTCTAAAATAATTCCTCCACATACATGTCCAATAACATTTTCGTCTAGATCAAGTTCTTCTATATCTTCTGAGATTTCAATTAATCTTCGAAAAAATTAGAAATAAAATTTTTCTATTCATAAGAAAGACTAACAAACCGAGCATAAGCATTTATTGTTTCTAGAACAACAGGAAAAGTATTTGATTGTAAACAATCAATTTCATTATCAAATAAATGAATTTTATGAACAGTAGGTCCAAATGGAGGTATATCTTCAAGTGTCACCTTCTTCTTCTTTTTCTTTTTTTCTATAAAAATAATTAAATCTAATTGTCTTTTTTCTTAATATTTAATTTCTACTTTTTTTCTTTTTTTCTGCAGCTAACTCAGCTTCAGTTGGTTCAGGTAATAAACCTTGTGCTCGAAGTGCAGCTGTAAAATATAAGAACAAAGAGTAGTAAAAATTAATTCTTAATAATAAACTAAAACCTTGTTGTGCTTTAAAATCTTCTTCCATTCGTATTTTATCTCGTTTATCACTAAGTGCTTTTTCACACTCAACTAACAATGGTTTTATTAAATTATGAGCACCTTGACACCCAAGTTGATTTCCATCAAGATAAATTTCACTAAATAAATTATTTGCCAAAAAACAGAAAAATAAATTTTAGTATCTACGTTATTGCAGTTTGTACTAAAAGTTGACCTAATGGAGTTCCACATACAGGACCGATATCACAATACGTTAATGAAAGTCGTGTAATACCTCGATTTTCAAGTAAATTCGAACATAAGAATAAACATCCTTCATCACCAAATCTATAAATATGTTTATATTTGTTCCAATAATCATAGAAAATTAAAAACTCACTCATTATAATCAAGATTCAATACTCGAAGTGTGCCATAAATATGAATTCCCCTATAGAAGAAATATATAAAATCTATTCAAGTCTTGAGCAACATACATTGTGAGTCTCGATAATGGATGTGGTTGAATAAGACAGTCATTAAGTGTAAGAATTTGAATACCAGTTGTAGGTTGATTTAAAAAATTATTCTAATAAACAATACTGAATAATTTCGTTTTTATAATATTATATTTGCTTACAAGTTCAATACAATCAAGTAAATCCATACAAATATTCCATACACAAAGATCTTTTACACTGTTATTTGCACACGCCAGCAATGTACGAATTATTGGTCGAACATGAGTTTCAGGCTATAACACATATTAAGAAAAAGAAATTCCTTGAAAATGTATTCAAAAATACTAACAATTGCAATAGGTTCCGAAATCGATGTCTGTTCACCATCAATCGGTTTTTTAGGAGGTATTGGTCGTAGAAATAACTGAAAAGAAATTTTTCTTATGTTATTTTAATTAAACTAAAAATCTTACACTTTTCAAAACTTCACCCTCTGCATCTTCAAGTAATGATCGAACTGATCTGACAACTTCCGTACAAGGAACACTATTATGATCAGCGCTATACTGATTATATAGTTTTAAAAAACGTCGTAATGATTTATCATTTTGTTCAATAACTTCAGTACTTTTTTTCGTTGGTTTTTTCTTCTTTTTTTCTGGCATTACGAATTTATGTACAAAAAACAGAATTCTTTCAATAGTTAACAGATGTCGCCATTTTCATATTCTGTTTCTATAGTAATACCTCTACGAATAAAATCACTTATGCATTTTGAATATAAATTTTTAAATGTTAATTTATTATCAAAACTTTTAGTTAAATATCAATGATTTATTATTAAAATATTTTTTAAATAAATGAAATTCTATAAAAAAATTCCTATACAACTGAGACAAAATCCGATGATTGAAAGACGTTAAAAAAATCAATAAACAAACAATTCGACAGCTGCATGGATAAACTGTGGATTCCCGTTCGTTGATTTCTAAGAACGAATGAATAGTCAAAGAAAAAAAAAACAACTAGTATATCACAGAACAGATCTTTTTATTTCTTTAAAAATTCGCGTCGTCATCATCATAAAAACAAGAGCTTCTCTAATTTTCAAAGACGAAATGTATCATATAAATTTTCTATCGATAAATTCTATATTAAAGGATTAATTTGGCATTTTTTCTCATAGAATTCGATTTATCGCAAAAATCATATGAGAATGAATTTAAAAAAAGATTGATTGATATAAAATTTATTTATTTCAGATGGCTGCTGCAATAGAAACAAAACTTTATGTAACGAATTTTCCGAGTTCAGCTACTCGACAACAATTACAACAATTTTTTTCACGTTTTGGTCGTGTACAAGAATGTGCTAGTAAGTAAAATAAATTTTTTAAATATTAAAAATTTCAATCATTTTTAGTTATGTGGAATTCATATGCATTTGTTCATTATGCAACGATGGAAGAAGGTAAATTTAAATGTTTAAGTTTTAAAAGATACGAATAATTAAATGTAATATTTAGCTCGTCGTGCACTTGATCAATCAAATGGTGCGATGTTTCTTAATCGAAAACTCATTGTTCAATTATCAACATCACGTTTTCGTCCACAACCTAAAGAAGCAACTAATCCATTATCACAACCACCTAAGCAACTAATGGTTATGACGAATCCATCATCATCATCAGTTGCTTATCATCATTTAACGAATGGAGGAGGATCAACAATTAAACAACAACAACAACAACAACAGCAGCAGCCAAATCCACTCACACAACAGTATTCGAATGGTAAAGATTCATCTATATACTTAGATAAGATCATTATATTTCATTCTCAGAAATCTAGGCAGAAAGTATATAGTAGCATGTATTATAACCTAATTCTCGGAATCTATGTCATACAGCCTATTCATCACTAAATAAGCAAAGTATTTCTTTTGAACAATACATTTCATTTTTATTTTAGAAGTCAATTATGATATGATGACAGGTTATAATCCTCAATGTTCATCACCGATATTACAAGATGGAAATAATTTTTTTCCAAATACATATCGTCCTCCATCACCATTTTATTTATCTCAAGAACTTAATAATGGCTATTATTCACAATATTCCAATATACAAATGGATAGAATGACACCTTCACCATTATCAATTCAATTAAATAAACTAAATCATATTAAATCAAATAAAAATAATATCAAAACAGGTAATGGGTATTTTTTTAGAGAGAAAAAGTTTTTTTTTTATTTTAAATTTATTCGTTTATAGATATTGGTACAAATGGTGAAATTCCGAAATTATATTGTACGAATTTACCAGATAATTGTAAAGCAAATGATTTACAACGTTTATTTTCAACATTTGGTCAAGTTATTGATTGTGTTATTCTATGGGATTATTACGCATTTGTTACATTTAAATCATTTCCAGAAGCAGAACATGCTTTACATACACTTCATGGTTATACATGGAAAGATCGACGTCTTATTGTAGAATGGTCACGTGCATCAGGACGACGACAACAACAACAAACATCACCATCACCAACGACACCAAGACTTGGATCATTTGGTTGTATGTTATATAAAATTAAATAAATAAAAAACAATCATTTTAATGATTATTTTCTTTTTCTAGCTGAAGTTTCAACACCACCGTCACCTCGAAGTCGTCCATCAACATTATTATCTCATCAATCTGCTTCAAATGGACAATTTTATGGAAATAATTCACCAAAAATTCTTTCACCACTTAAATCACAATCACCACATCATACATTCAATCAAAATCTTGCGATGATGTCAATCATTCAACAACAACAACAACCAGTTTTACACCATCATCATCATTCATCGATGCCATATGGAACATATTCAAATCGAAATAATGTTGAATCATTAATCAATGAAAATCAACCAATATTTGATGGGTAAGATTAAAGTTCAATGAATAGGTTTGAAAGTATTACAGAGATTAAAATAGGATTCGATAATGTTATATAAAATTAAATTGATACATCAATCACTCTAAATCCATTTGTATAATCTGTATATGATTTTTATATTTTAGTTTAACAAATTCTTCATCAAATCATCGTCTTGATTTATCACCATTTATTGATTCAAATACATCAAATTCAAATACATTATTTTCATCATCATGTGAACTTCCATCACCATCATCACCTGTATCAATAACAAATGTTTATCAACCATCAGATATTGCTGCTTTACTTGAACCATCATCATCTGATGTATCAATAAATAAAAAATCAACAGAAAATTCAAGAATTAATGATATAACAAATACTTTATCATCACAATCAACAAATATTCAATCATCATGTTCATCGACAGCAGCTGCTGCTGCTTTATTTCAGGAAAATTTATTATCATCATTATTTGGTTCATTAGAACCATTTAGTAAATTATTTCCAATTGATGAACAATCAACAACAACATCAAATTCACGTTATAATCATATTTTACCAACATCATCACCATTATTAACAACAGCACCTGATAATAGTCATTATCCAATATATTATGGGCATAATAATTCTTGGCATTAAACTAGCAAATAAACAAATTTGTCTATTCTGTTTTCTTTTTGTTTCTCTTTCGCCGGTGTGTGTATTCATTCATTTTTTTTGTTATGATTTCGCGCAACAAAAAAAACTATCTAGATCCTTTTGCTTTGTTGTCTTTTTTTTTTCTTTCTAGTCGCACTTTTCTTCTTCTGTCTGTTATTGTCGGCCTTTTTGTCTCACTCTCTCTCTTCGCGCGATGAATAGTAGTTCGTTTTCGTTTTCTTTGATTATTATTATTATTTCGACATATGCGATCTCTTAGGGAAAAAAAACTATTACTTTGCTGTAGTTTAGCTTTGTGTGTTTAAAAAACAAACATATTCGTTTTTTTCTTGTCTCAGGTTTCTTTTTTTCTGTGTTTCTTTGTTTACAAGAAAATCAAGAAGGTACTCACCATGACTTTATCTCGTACTCCGGTCTCGCGTTGTAATACATCTATGTATTTGTTGTTGTTGTTGTTGTTGTTTTCTTTTTTCTCTCTCGGGCAAGGTTTATTGTTATCTTTGCACGATCGATTCTTTGTCTTCTTTAGTATTTCAAACAGCATACTCCTATTTGAACAGTCTTCTCATTTATTAAACTCTCATCATTTATGTGTAGGTAAACCAAACATGTTCATTTTTGTTGGTTTTTTTGTTTCTTCTACTTCTTTCTCAGTTCCTATACTGAAACGGATGAGCTCTAGTTGTTTGTTATTCAGTTGTGTGTATGAGTGTTTTCTGTTTTTCTTGCTCTCGTTCTTTTTTATTTCTTCGCACACTCAACTACACACACAAGCATGTTAAAACAACGTGTTTTCTTTTTTTTTGTTTGGTTTTTTTTTTCATCATTATTTTTCTATTACTTCTTTCTGTGGATTTCAACCAGGATTTGTTGTGTTGAACATGTTAACGATTGTACTCCAGTAAGGAGATAAACATAACGAAAAAACAAAAGAGAACTTTAAAACTAAAACAAATTTTCTTGAAATGATAACGAAATGAGAAAATAAAAGAGTTTTATTGATTTCATACGACAATGTTAGCATAAATTATTATATATGAAGTTCTAGAGCCACTTGATAATAGTTTTTTTACAGCAGCAATCAAAAACTTTTGTTAATAGAAGAATTGTCTGATAATTGCTTTTATTTGAATGTTAATGTATGGCGAATCATCGCGAAGAGATAAAAACTCATTTTTAAAAGTTTCAATTGTCCATACTGTTATGTCTTACGGCGAAAACATTCAATATACTTTTCTATTACCGCAAGTCAAATAACCACTTTATATAACACTAGTTCATGTACTTGATGAGTTTTATTTGCCAAAAAAAGGAAATAAAAGCTATACATTTTATTGTTGGCTACCATATTCATGAGATACTATCATAATTCTACTGGTTTGAAGGTACCTATTGAAAACCATAAAAAAATTCAATGTACTTGATACTAGAGCAACGAATGATTGTGTTAATACTATTTGACCTGTAACTGACAGTTGAGAATTAACAATATCAAATGGTACATGTTTTAAATAATACAGACATAATGAGAAATATCTTGCTTTTTTTTCAGAATTATTTTATCTTGGATTGTGTGCTTATAAACGAATGTTTAAAGTTATGCCATAACTCATTTTTCTCGATCAAGATAAAATAATTATGCTTAGTTTTCTTATGAAAGAATCAATCAAAACTTATTCATCTATAATATTAATATTCAAATCTAACTATGCTTGAATGAATAATAAAATTCATTGAATTTGTAAAGGTAAGAAATTGATTTGATTAAAAATCAAACTACTAGCGCCTTCTATTTCTTTTTGTCTATGATTTCTTATTGGGTCTACTCACGAATTTTTTTTTCAGAAAGAAAGAAGGTGCTCATAAAATGAGTCACTCAAGTAATAAAGTGCACTTCATTTGTCTGCTGTGTTATGTTTGCAAACATTTCAATTCTTTGTCTACAATAATGTTTTACCTGTATGATTCGTTTAGTCTCTATTAAGAAGGTTTTATATTTACTTTTTTTTGATATTCTTAATATTTTTACGAAAAATAAACATCATCTCAATATGTGTGTTTACATACCATTCATAGACGATTTAAGAATTTACATGTGCGTTCGTGCAACGATGCTTACAAAAGAATCTGTATGAATACTCGACAATATATATATATTTTTGTATTCATCATTAACAGGTTATTACACAACAGGCGAACATCTATTTTAACGTTATGTTTGTCAATTAGTTTGAGACGTGCTTTTTTCTTCTTTATCGTCTATCGAAGAAAGGACCGAGACGAGAGACATAGAGAGAAAGAGAGAGAGAAAGAGAAAAGAGTAGTAATAGTTAGTCAATCTTTAAAAACAACATAAAAAAAGAACGCCAACGATTACAATTTTTTTTTTGAATAGTTTATGTTTTTACTATATCAGGTAGTGGCATTCAATAGGTAAGTTAATGTTATTGAGCAATAGAAAGAAAGAGAATAATCCGTCATCGTCGTCATTCGATATTTACTGTCTACCTTTTGCTCTTTATTCATGGATTTATCTTTCAGTGAATGTTTTTTCTTTGGTCTGATCAAAGAAAAAAAATAATAAAAAGGTCGTTGTTTTTTTTTCTAGATCATCTTTTTATCTTTAATGGATTCAATCAATCCTCAAGTACCATCCGTGGCATTATTTGTCACTGTAAGTACTTTCTTTGTTGTTGATCTTTATTTATTTTGTTTATTAAGCGATCTGAAATTGATTTTTCTCATCGTTCACCAAGTCCAATATGTCAACGATGGTTTATGGTTTTATATCTTAAATCCGAAGCAAAAGAACTTGCATTAACAGTAAATATTTATTCAGTCTGAATTTACTTTTTTATCTATTTTTAAAATTCTAAAAAGGTTTATCCTGTTAATATGAAAAATCCTGAACAAGAATTTAAAAAAGCATATAATTCCAATCCACCTGTTGTTGTATTTAATGAAACAAATGATAAATCATCACAAGTTGTTTTAACTGATAGTCGTGATATTGAAGTTGAAATAAGTAAATGTTTTCCAGTTATGAATATGAATTCATTAAAAGAAGCTGAAGATGTTTGTTCAAATGTTTATATTAAATTTCATCCATATTTAAAATCATCAACAGGTGATCAACAAGAACAAATGAAATTACGTAGTTTATTAACTGAATTAAAACGTATCAATGATTATCTTGAAGAAACAGGAAGTAAATTTTTATCAGGAAATGAAATGACATTTATTGATTGTGACATTATGCCTAAATTACAACATATACGTATTGCTGGAAAATATTATAAAAATTTAGATATACCAAATGAATTAAGAGCATTATGGTTATATATGGAACGTTGTTATCAATCGAAAGCATTTCAAGAATCATGTCCATTTGATCAAGATATATTAATGCATTATGAAGGGAAAGTTGCACCAAATCATAAACCATTTGGTAAAACACCGACATTACAGCAACCAACAATGACATTAACAATACCAGCATGAAAATTCCTATATCTATATATATGCATATACACTTATATACATATGAATGACTTGTTTTTCTTTTGTATATAGTTGTGTCTTTTTTTTCTTCTCATTTTGAATGAACAAATTTCTTTTACTTTTTCGTTATGGCTTGTATGTCAATGTCATATTTTCTTGCTTTATTATGTTTTTTTTCTCTCTCGCTGTATTGCCAGCTTTTTATTTGTCTAGCAAATTTGAATGATTGATCTAAAGAAATCTGTTTGATACAGATTGAATGAACGATTCTTTCTTTGTTTCTTTTTTTTTTCTATTTTATATGTGGAAATTATAAAGAAAAGAAAAATAAAGATTTTGATCACGAAGAACATTTTTTAGAGAATTGATTTAACTCTAACTTTAATTACTTTTCTAATGAAAATATTTATTTGAATCAACAATGATAGACTTTACACTAATGTTAAAATGTAATTTACTTCAAATAAATATTTATTAATGCTGTTATTATTAACTTTATTTTATGTCATTAAAACTAAAAATGTATCTGAAGTATTTTAATGATAAAAGTGAACTTTATATATATATGTGTATACTTCAATTGTGAACTTTTTCAATAGAGTTACAAATGATGAACTCATTGTTATCTCATCAATATAGATTCGTATGAGTTTTAAATGAAACAATAAAATGTTTTATATTTATCAAAATGATTATTCAGTAAATTTACTTAGATACAAATTTATTCAAAACTCAAAAGAGTTGTAATGCAGTTCTATGTATTCGATGACATAGAATGTAATTATTGTTTTATTTTGACGTTTTTATATGAAAATTTGACCATGAAAGACAGATAATGGATTTATTTAGAGAGAAAAGTCGTGAAGTCAAACGCGACTCTCCATTTCAATCGTGTATCATTGTTGTATAAGAAAATATTCCTTTTTATTTATTCTAAAAAGAATAATTAATGAATATAGCAAAAGTATCGTATCTCTATTTGATTCGCTGAGTGAATAGCAGCATTTCATTCCCTCTAGCATTTTAGTATGACTTAATTTGGAATAAATAAACGTCATCCGGACCAAAGATGCCATTTGTTCCATTGTGAATTGAAAAAAGTTTCAAGTGACAATCGATTTTGTTGAGTGTGTAAATAGACTGCAATGATGTAATCATTATTATAGTTCTATCAGAAACATTCTTTCCTTAGAAAAAGAAAAAGTTACTATACAAAGTTAAATCTATGAAAATAATGTATTCCGTTTATATATTGTCAAGTACAAAGATATTACAAACTTATCTTTCATTGTCCTTCACATGTAATAAAAATACTACTTTTAATTTAGAATAGAAATCAACGAGTGAATACTTTGAAATTCATTCTTTTCGAATCTTAACTAGTTGAATATATTAAGAGAAGTGTTCTAACAGGGTTATATACAGACTATTGACTCTTATTTGATGACACTTTGAAGTGATCATCACCCTGTCACAGTGAACAATTTTCATCAATGTCAATAGTGTTCAGAACTATATTTTCTTGTCTAGTGAACACATTATTTCAAATAAAAGAGCATTCATACCTGAGTGACCAGTCTATTGATATACATATACACATACAAAATTATAAAAGATATATATGTAAATTATATATATTTAAAAAGAAAAAAAAATCTGTACTTTGTTTTTTTTCTCTATTATTAATAAAAATCTTTCTTGCATGACAATAAAATAATTTTACAAATACAGAATAGCGAATAACAACAAAAAAAGTGTATATGAAAAAAACGAATATAGAGACGTTGATAAAGATGTAGTTTTTTTTTGAACATTACCACTTGCTTTCTGTAGTTTATTTGATGATAATGTTGTTGTTGTTGGTTTTAATTTTCTTTCTTGACATAAACGACTACATTGATTATCTAATGAACAATTTAAAAAATTATCTAATTCAAAAATATTTATTGGATGATTTAAAAATTTCATTATTTGTTGAGAATTTTTAGCTTCTATAATTGTATTATTTGTAACTATACATGCTTGTTCCGGTTTAAATAAACGATTAATTTCTTTTGCATATCTACGTTTGAAATGAAATATATTTACTAATTGACAATTACATTGAAATTTTGTATAAGCATCTAGTTTTATATCTAAAGTTGGATGACTTAATAGAATACAATTATCTAATGGCGATATATGTAATTGTTTTTCCGTATTTATCCATAAACGTGTAAGATTTTCAATTCCACAAAAAGCATTTTTATCAATATATTGTAACGGATTTTTTGTTAATGTTAATATACGAAGTTTCGGTACATGTTCAAATGTATATTCATCAATAGTTTCAATTAAATTTGATGATAAATCAATTTGATCAATAGTTTGTGATTGTAAATCATCGATATTAACTAATTGATTTTGTGTAAAATCAATATATTTTAATTTTTTTAATTTTTTTATTGATGATATTAACGGTTGTGTACGAAAAACTTCCGGTAAACGATATAAAATAAGACTTTCAAGTGATGTTAAATATTCAATTGGTAATAAACTTGTTTGATGTGTACTTATTAATTTTAGATATGTTAAATGTTGACCAACTGTTGTTGTTGTTATATTATGATAACGATAATTATCTAAATAAATATTCATTAATTCTAAACGATTCAATTGTGGTAATTGATTGAATAATGTTTCTAAATTAAATTTTTTATCATGTTTATGTATTTGATGATAATGTACATTTTTTAATGTTAAAGATTTTAATGTTTTAAATGAATCGGAAAAGAAGATGTCTTGAAAATTTCCTGTTGATGTTGATAATGAATTAATTGTTGAATTTCCAATAACAAATTTTTCTAAATGATTTATTTTCGAAAATGATTCTTCGTTTAAACCAATTAAATTACAAGAACGTAATGATAATGTATTGATGTTTAAATCAGCAAATGTTTTATCTCCAATTTGTAAATCTTGTGAACAAGATTCGATTTCAATTCTTTTATAATGAATATTTGGTAGAAAATGTGGAACATATGAATGACCAGTACATTTTAATGATATTGCATTTGGTGATATATCTTCACATTCACATTGTTGATGTTGTTGTTGACTATCATAAGGATAATATTGAGTACAAAATGAATGTGTTGATGATTGAGCATTTGTTAATGAAATAATTAGAATTAAAAAATAGATAATGTAATACATTGAATTAAAATACATCTGAAATGATAGATAGATATATGTATGTGTCGATACATTTTTATGTATAGAAGAAATGAATAATTAAAAATTGATTAGTAATGTTCGCATTTGTAATAATAACAAAGACAAATAAATTGATTACTTATGCACATGTGTAAAATTCTTTTATCTTTTACCTCCTACTTATTATCTAGAAATGAATTTGCTTTGAAAATCCAATTTCAACAGTATCGTGCAACATTGATGTATCATTAATTGTTAGGTATGAGGTTACATTTCGGACAGATTTCTAGATCAAACAATCACACATTCAATAAGTAAATTTGTAGAATATTTAATTAGATAAATAACATAAAGCTGGTGCAAGTTGTAAGAATAATATTAGTTTACTACAGACTACGATTTTTCTCATACTAACTGTCTATTTATATATGACTTCAACAGTACTATTCTCATTTGTAGCAATCTCCCCGATTAATTTCTTTCCACGATGATTTATGGTAGAAATATTTCAAACAAAAGAAAATATGATCGGAAAGAATAAACATAAATGCGCTGGGAAGATTAAAAAGAATAATATTTGTTGATTAGAATTTTTGAGTAGAAAAAAAAAAAGAATCTTTGAATATTTTATAATCGAGTAATATAATTTTTTGTTTATATGTCATGATGATAGAAATGTTTGGTTGAGGTTTATAGATAAGAATATATGATATATGCAAAGATGAATCGCTCATGCTGAGTGCTATCGACCAATTTCTAACTATATATATGTATACATACATCACTATCTATCATGTTTCTAGTCGGTAGAATTGAACTTTAAGAATAATATGATTATCGATTTGACTAAGATGATTGTTTAGTTTTCATATAAAAAATTATTCAACACAAACATATATCGCCTGAGATTATTAATCAGTAGTGTTCTATCTAAAAAACGATCATATTTAATTTCACATTTTTGCCCTTAAGTAAGGATTATAAAAAGAAAACTTCAAAAGAATTCATGCTCAATCTAATCAAATAAATCTATCGCATGATCACAAATTATAAATCTTTGTTACAGAAAAATGTTTTCTAACTCAGTAATTTATCGTTCAATTTAACACTCAGACAAATTCCGGTGATTTCTACATTTTATTTATCTGTACATTATGTTTAAAAAATGTAGTATTTCCGTCAAGTGATTGACATTACATAATTATTTTATGATTAAAAAATTTTTCCACGAAAGAAATGGAGATAAGTAATAAAAGAATTATTAAGTGTCATGTCAAATTATATTGCTTATAAGAAGAGAAAGAAAGCAGTGGATGCTAATTTCGTTATTAAATAAAGCAATAAATGTCATATAAACAATCATTTTTAATACTGATAGAAAAAGAAGCAAATTTCTTCTTACCTTAAAAATCAGATATTTCTATTTAATACTTAAAAACTTTATTTCATAGGTTTTTTTTCTCTATTGAAAACATGTAAAGAGAAAAACGTTGTTGAAAAAAAAAACTTTTTCTCTACTACTACTGATCCACTTATATTCTTAGTCTCTGTTGAGACTAACGATAGTACGGTTGAGTGCCAATCTATCCTGTTAATATGCTCGTGCGCGTCAATGCACGACATGAGAGAAAAGAGTAAGAAAACGTGCGTTCGATCACATACCGGAACTGTTGATCGATTTTTTTATTATGAAAAAATGAACGAGAGTATGTGCGGATGAATGTTCACTTTTTTTTTATGTATGAGAATGCTGTAACTATTCATTCGATCTCACTATTTTTTTTTACATGCTCGGAGGGCACCATCACTACTACTCGAATAGTTTGATAGTGTTGGCTATTCTCTCGTCTTCTGCTTCTTATTCTTCTGGTAATCAGCTTTGTGTCGTTGAGGCTATTTTTCCTTCTACACTCTCGTTTGCTCCCCTGTTCTCTCTCTCTCTCTCTGTCGATCGCTTTTTATTTCTACTATTTGCCCTGTATTAAACAAAGAGAACGTCAAGAAGCGGAAATACGCAAACGTCAATGCGACCAATGGTCAATAGAATATCTATTTCAAATGTTCAGTTAGATGTATATGTGCGGTAAAGGTAATCAACACGCACATGCGCGACGTTAAAGGCAATAGATTTCTTTTTTTTTACTACAACACGCTATTGTCAGTTCGATAGACAAATGAACGAATAGGCCGCACAAGAGAAGTGTGAGATAGAGAAAAGTGAAAGATCGAAGTCATCGAGAATGAGCATGTGTAGACTTGACATGAGGTCATCATTCATCACGCATTATTCAAAATGATAATATGTATATGTATGTGTGCAATGGCACACTTGTTCCTCCTTCTCTTTCCTCTGTCTCATTGCACTAGTACCATGTATGTATATGTATAGGAGATGAAACAACGATCATTGTCGGAACGATGAAGATTAGGAATCAAATTATCTAAGAACGAGATGATTGTACTCATTAAGACGAAGCATCCGTAGTAATTTCATCAGAAAAGCAATTCATTAAGGCATAAGCACGATCGGACTTAGCAAACAGCTTACCCATCGAAGTACTACTTCTTATAAGACATTGAGTTACAGGAAGATGTATGTGAGTACGAGGTAGAGTGTCTGTTCAATGTTCACTTTTTTTCTCTCTCTCTCTCTCACTCACTCTTTCCTCTTCTCTTATCCTCTAATTCTTTTTGTGTTCTCTTTCTCTATGTATCTCACGCACATGCTGCATGCTACATCATCAAGAGTAATGCCATTCATTCGCTGTCTAAATAGGAGTTGGACAAGTGTCCCACTCTCGTCGTCGTGGTACACGCCCCAATATATATATGTGTGTATATATATATGCATACATACATACATACGTGTGTGTGATGATGTAATAATGTGACTAATGGCTTGAACGCGACGACTGCATGCAATAATAAAAAGAAATGCAGAAACGTCTGCCCAAAAAAACTTTACACCAACAAAAATATACATCTGCACCAAGGATGTCTTACGAACAAGTGCTTTAATTACTTATACTTCTTTTTTTATCTTGTCTCTTGTTCATGTTCTTGCTCTTACTATTTAAATTATAACAAGCGTAATCTTTTTCATGTACACAAAGGCATACACGTTGGTTGCATAAAAAAAATCTATATAAAGGAGGTTACACCGCTGCTATCTTTTTTCTCTATGTATATACTCCTAATTCCTTTGTTTGAGCAAGACTGTCGGGAGTTTGATGGTGTAATCAAGTCTATTCTTTTTCTTTACTCAGTATGTTCATATTCTTTCTAACAAATTTGCTGTCATTCAATGTAATTGATAATTATACACTAAGTCCATTAAGTTGTAAAGGCGATGTGTCCTTGTTGGTTGAACAGTTAATAGAGCTTGCGCAACTCCTCCTCCTTCTCCTATTCATGCATAAATGTTTTTGTGTGGTTACGATGATATTGTAAAGCTTTCAAGTTTTGTTTCTTTTTTGCGCTCTCTCTCTCTCTTCTCTCTTCTCTTACTTGTTATTCACATATATATATATACAATGAATAATAATGATGACGTTAATGTGGTCAAGATGTATACGCTCTACTTTGAAAAAAGAAGAGAGACAGAGAGCCGAGACAATGAGTGATTGCAAAAGAAACAAATCTAATAGCATAAAAGCGAGAATCGAAGGATGATAAGATAGCAAAAAAAAGGCAAAAGGAAACAACGAAGACACGAATGAATTGAACATTCTGTAATTCTCTTCATCAATGCTCATCATTCACCCGACCTTGACCCATTCTCGTTCATTCAGAACTCCTTTTTCTATAGAAATTCGATGCCAACACGACTGTTCGCATACAAAAATGGCCTCGACCAAATGCGATTGTATTCTTTCTTTTTTTTTTTTCTTTTTCTTTATATCATCTAAATACTAACGATGACTATCGTCGACACATTTTTTTTTCTATTATTTGCATCTAACAGAAAAAAGATTAATTGAATGTATATTCAAACTGTTCTTTTATTTTTAATCAAATTTAATGTTTTTTTTTGAATCTGAATAAATTAATGGTCGAATATCCCCTACGTCTACGAATATACTCAGCAGGCATTAGTCTGAACAACGTTGTTTGTATTTAACACCGGCTAATAAGACGCTCATCTCAAGTTACATACACATAAACATGTTGAATGCATGCAAGAGCGCAGTGCTATTTACCTTGAACAGGGTGGTGGTATGGTCGATTGATGTATATAGTGAGGGAATAGCATGATTGCTTGACCTGTCGTCGTAAACTTCCATATGCTAATTGAAATGTTAAAATTGATCAATCACACAATTCTATTTATGATTAACAAAAAAGAGAATATTGACGACATAAATCGTCTTCAGTATTCTCTCGAATTTTTACTTCTCTATCGTATATGTATACAGCTGGTACTTTTCTCTATATGGCAACGTGCATTACCAATCTTCTTCTATGAACATACAACGTAAAAGAAGGAGCAGTAGTAGTAGCAGTAAAAGAAGACGATGAAGAATAAAAAGAAGAAGCAAAAAAGAAAAAAGAAAAAAACCTTTAAGGTGCAGTCCATCGCCTGATTTCATTTTCTCATAGAGAGAGAGAGAGAGAATAGAAAATGAAAGAGCTGTTGTCTTCTACAATGAAATGTATCTGTTAAAGTGGCATATCTTAAGAGATAAAAAGAAGAAATGTTCAAGGATGCCTTCTCGCCCTTGTACAGAGTGTCGTTCATTGATAACTGACGACAATCATAGGTTGGGTTATGTTGACAGACTCCATGACAATATGCTAGATGATGATGATTAACTTCGAAGTATTATATATATATGTATGGTCGAGACAATTTTCGTTTGGGCATGCACCAGATGTGTTTAACAGCGCCTAAGGGACCGTGACACAATTGTACTAGATTCTATTTATCATGCAAAGAGTTCAAAGTTAATGATTAATCTTTTCACACAGTGGAACCATCTGTCAAACAAAAGGCAAAGTATAATAAAAAAAAAACGTATCCAAATCGTGATAAGAGGAATATTGATGAATATAGATAGAGTATGTTTATAAAACAAAATGAATGTCGAAAAAAGAAAATTATGCTAATCAAGAAAAAAATCGCAAGGTTGTGTGAATTACTTTGTATGTCTTTTAATATCAATGTTCAGCTAAAATTAAATATTAACATGAACAAAAAAAGACTCTCACTTGCTATATATAGAACTATTAATTTCAACTTTTGTTGCTAGAGGTATGAGTCGGTCTACAGGCTTTTTTTTTCTATTACTTACTTTTCATTAATGGTAAATAGTTGAAAGAAAATTAACTTTATGTTAAAGCGTGAAGGTCATTTCTCATATATATATTAGTTTATTCATAAGAATTTCTTATTAATATGTCTGACAATCTGGCATATGACTATTTACCTTTTTTCAGATTAGTTCTGTGCAATCTATTATTACGTATGTGTCATTATTATCAGTCTGTGTGATATTACTTCTGGTTTGTCTTTTATATTCCTTCTAGTTCGTCTGATAGATATAATGGTATATTGACGAGGCAAAACATTTCTCTTTTTTTTTCTATCTACATGACCATACATGTTATTGCCTTATCGAGCTGACTTTCATATAGGAATGTCGAGAGAATAACAACAACAATCTGTTAGAAGAACATGATCATCATTAAAGAAAAAGGAAGCAAAAAGACAGAAGAAGAAGAAGAAAAAAAGTTATTACATCACATTCTATTCAGCATAGATTTCTAGTCAGCAGTCAGGAGTGATGAGTTGAGTGTCAGATAACAATCACATAAGAAAGAAAGAAAGAAAAACTGAAAATGAACATTATCTAATAATGAATAGAAAGTTCAAATAAAAACAACAATAAAAATTACCTATTAAATATATCTCTAAATACATAATCATATGGTATATTATCTTTATGACAGTAATAACTTATTTAGTCGTGTCTTACCTACTCGCCTTATATTGTCTTTACAGTATGGTGAATTGCCATTGAGTTTATGTGTATTATATATGCTTCCTCAACGACGTCAAGGCTATTTTTACGCATGTGTAAGTGTGGTGAAATTTATTGTTCTAGTCATGAAATATATAACACAAAAAGAAGAAAAAGGTTGTTTCATTATAATAAAACAACATTTGGAATAGAAAAATGTCACTGGAGATTGGCTAAGCAGCCGCTAACTTTAATAAGAAATTAATCAAATTGAACATTTTCTCTAATCGACCTTGAACATATTTGTCTGTTTTTTTCTTTTTTACTTTCTCTAGAGACCGTCTCGGTTTCTTTTAATCATACTATTTCGATAATCCATTATCCATAAATGAATTCTATATATATATATATATTAAATAGAATCGATTTTAAATAATTTATGTATATAGTTTTTTTTTATGAAATACTTCCGATGTATAATAAATTATAGACCATTGACTAAATTCAAAAATATATATTATTATAATGATTATTTTCATCGTTTGTTAACCGTAAAAACTTCTTCGTGACAACACAGTAAGTAATTTTTCTTTTTCTAACAGATTACATCATAAATCATAAAGAAACATGACAGAAGAAAAAAATTATGACTTGAAGGACTATTATCCATTATTAAATATCAGAAAATGAGTAGAAATAGATCTTCGTGTATCTAAAAAAAAGTGCCGGAAGGATAGTACATAAGATGGTTCTTTGATGTTCTTGATAAATAATTCATAACGACAAGCAAACGAACAAGGACATTTGTTAATTAAACAGATTTTTACATAAAATTATCGAACATCAAGAGAATAATAATGATTGACACAAAAGAATCTTTATTCTATTTTAAACTGATTAGCATCATAAAAAAAGAGAGAAAAGATTTAATACCAAAAATACTCTTTCAAATAAGCTTGAAGGATATGAAATGATATTTATGAACTTTATAAAAAAAAGCTATATAATCGAATTTCGATTATTTAATATTTATTACCATAAAATAAGACATCATATTAATTACATAGATTGATGAAATGAACTGTCATATTTGTGCATGAAGAAATATCATAAATTCAACTATATTGAAGTGTGAACTCAATCATTTATCAAAAACTACTTAAATAATCATTTGAATTGCTTAAGAATTTTTGACATCAATAGTTTTTTATTTCTACTAAGTATTATTAGCATGAATATTCTTCTTCTTCTTTCAATAGGGAAATAAAATAACTCTATAAATAAGAATAATGATAAATTCATGTTCATTATTTAAAAATATTCGCTATCTAAAAGTAAACTCAATTTATCATAATAATTAACTAAGAAATAAAATAACGGAAGACTACAATTGTTGGAGTCTTGTCAAAGCCTTGAAGAAAAGACTATTAATTTTATTACTATTCATCCGGTTGACAATAGATGGTGTTGTCAAATTTAATTGACATAAATAAGATTTTTCAATTATTTTAACTTGAAAATACGTTGTTGTTATTATATTATATTTACAGCATCTATTCAATCAATCAAAAATATTGCTTATTTTGGGCATAGTATAAACAAAAACAAATTACTAGTCTATGACTTATTCAATAACAAAATATATCACAAATATTATTCATTTGCAATATATGTCAAATAATTTAAATTTTTCAGATATAATTGAGTATTTCATCTTCATTGGGATATATCACTATAATTAAGATAACGACCCAACAAATCAGTTTTACGAGCAACTGATAAGACACGGAGTAAAGATATATATCTATATTGCTGAAGTCTCAATACCAATTCTCTAATGTCGTCTCTAATATCTTTTCTCCTTGTTTATTAGTTAATTAAAGTAAAGTGAATTCTCTTTGAAGATAATTTAGTATAAAGCTAATTTATTATATTTTTAAGTAAAAGAAACATAAGATTGTTATCTCGAATAAATTTAATTTTTGCATAAACGATAATATCAGAATTTTACATCATCTCTCAGCTTGACAATACGCCGTCGAGAACAAGGACTCTATTAATGCTTAGTGTGTTTCTCAGGTTTCAGCACATCATCAACTAATTCGGCTTTTCTATGATCGCATTATTTCTTAGTTTGACAATCCTATCAAGAACAAGGACTTTTTTTTGCCAATGCTTAATTGTTTCTCAAATTTCCGCATATCATCAAGTTTATTTGACATATTCACTAACATTTCTTTTTCTTTTTTTGTTCAATTAATTAAAGAATATTTGTAAAAGTTTTATTTTTGTTCACAAAGGAAATAAAATTTTGTTTGGAAATATAAATATGATTAAAATAAACAAAAAACTATTTAATTCATACAAAGATGCAGATGATTCTCTAGCAGATATATGTTTTTCACGTCTTTCACAAAAATTTATTTCTTTGCTTTGATTATCATTTTTTTCTGTTTGATAACATATTAATTGAGATTTTTGTAATTCATTTGGACTTAAACATTCATATCCAATTGGACCTGTGCATACATCAGGTAATTTATATCGATTTGAACGTTCTTCTAAATACCATTCAAGTGTACAATCACATCGTATTGGATTATTATCAAGATTAATTTGTTTTATTGTATGTGCTAATTGTTGAAAAATTGTTTTTTCAAATAAACGTATTAAATTTCCTTTTAAATTTAATAATGAAACATTATATAGTTGATCAAATGCATGAGAATCAATATTTGATATTAATGATGATGATAAATCAATTTCACCGATATGTTCACAATCTTGAAATGCATATGAATTTATATGTGTTATTTCGCTATGAGATAAATTAACAAGATTAACTGATGTCATATAGGAAAATGAATTTGAACGTAATGATGTATGAATACCGGTTAATATTATTTTATCACATGTATGAAATCCAAAAAAAGCGAATGAATCAATTTGTTTTATTGGACATGTGGGTAATAAACATAAGATTAAAGTACCAACTGATTTAAGACCATTAAAAGCATAGGATTCAATAATCTATTTATATAAAGAAGAAGAATAAATAATAACAGAATTAGAAAGAGAGAAGATTTAATAAATGATTCCAAATCTTATTGATATTATATAGGAGAAGGAAACAAGATCAGTTTAGTATTGATTGGATCGATCTGTTATAAATTTTGTCATTAATATTAATTTAATAAAGAAAGAATAGTATTTATTTGATTTAAATAAATATTTTCTTATGATATCTGTAAGCCGAAATGCCTGTGGACATCAGTATCAATGCATAATTATATCCCATCCATTTATTAATTATCATTTAATTTCCTGTATTTCTATGATATTACTATTGAGCATTGTTTTTAAATATTTTTATATTACAGCAAAAGAAAAAGCCCATATATGAACATCATTTTATTTTTGCGAATTACTTAAGAAGACAAAGTACGTGTCAAATCTGATTACTAATAAAAACGATGATCTATAGAGATGAACTTCTTAACATCTATTCAGTGAATATATTTCACGCGAATAAATACGTTATTTTTAGAAAACATTTCCAACATTCTACCATCAATGAATATCCTCTTACTCAAATGTCATTTCTTTATACCGGAAATATGTTTATTATCCGTTATAGGTTACATGACCAAGCATTATATCCGATTTTTTTGTTTCCGAAGTGACTTTGAACTATATTTTTCTCTACTTAACCTTAATGAATAATAAAAAAAGTATTATTAAAACTTACCTCTAAAGGATTGTCACTTAGATCTAATATATCAACAAAATGTGTATTACGAAATACTTCTGTATGTATAACACGTATTGAATTTGATTTCAATGATATACGATGTACATATTCAATATCACTTAATGCAAATGATTTTAATTCAATTAAATTTCGATTTAATTCAATACGAAGTTCATGTAAACGATGAAGATGACGAAATGCATGTGGTTGAATTGTAATAAGTCCAGTATTAATTATTGATAGATCTCGAAGATTATAAAGACCCTAATGAATAAAATTTCATAGAAAATAACGAAAAAAAAAACAAAAAATTTTACTTGAAAATCGTTTGTTTTTATTGAAGTAATTGATGGTGTATGAAGAAGATCAAATCGTAGTATCGATTGTGTAAATAATGTTAAGTTATGATTTGTTGAAGTCCATGAACGTGGTAAATGGGTAATTGTTGTTGAATAACTACAATCAATTGTATTTGTCTGAACACAAGTGCAATCACTCAATGTTTTGAACAGGTGTGGACAGTTGTTATTTTTCAAATGTTCAGATTGTAATTGTATAATCGAGTTAGAAAAAGTAAATAAAATAAAGAAAAAAATTTGATATCGCCTAAAACAAAATTTTACTCATAAAAAATGATTTTAAATATATTTTTCCAACTTACGTCATCAATCATGTGTATATGTATATGTTTGAACACAAGATATGATCTGAACAGGAAGATATAGAATAAGTATCCTTGATGGACTCTATCGTACAAATGGTGTCATAAACAAAAAGAAGCAAGCAACTTGATGATTATATTGTGAACAATAGAATGTGGAAAAGGTTATTCATGTTATAATCTCGTAACATGCATATATGCGCATATTCTCTTTACTTGCTAGTCTTCGGAGGTTTTGTTTTTACGCCGATCGACAATTTTGAACGGCTTAAGTGCATGCGAGTATAAGAGTGTATGCCTATGATGCCTATCGAATCAAAATTGGAAGCAGAAGAAAAAGAAGAACAAGAAGAAGAAGAAGGCGAAGAAGTTGAAGGCGGAGACATACTATACATTGGAAAAAACACATTGCATTTAAACTACCGCCATCGATCTTTTCCATTTTTAGACAAAGAAAAAAAAAAAAAAAAAAGAAAATTTTATTCATTAAGATTCTGTTCGCTCGTCAAGGATGTATTTCTACGTTAGATTTAAACGACACAAGAAAAACCTCCGACGTACATGAACAATGAGAAATGATCAATGTTCATCGTCGCCTTTTTTTTCTGACCAGTCAATGTACAAAAGTTTTTCTTCTTTTTTTTTGTTAGTACAATCTGTGAATACAAATCATATAAAATAATTCCACTGGGCATATTTTTCTTTATCTTTCATGAAATTGAAGAAGAGCTTTTTCTCTGTTTCTCTTGTTCACTTATGTAAACGCAATTGAACAACTGGTCGATGATGAGATAATGAAAACTTATTGGACGCGTTTGATCAATTGATGCGTTATCATTTCCGTTTCTTTCGGATTTGTTCTAGTTTAACTGAGGACAGTGGCTAGTCAAATTTATTTTGTTAACTAAATTAGATTTTAGGTTTTTTTTTCCAGTTAGCTTGACATCGTCTAGTGAATTCTCAATACATGCCGATCGTATTAATAAGCTTCGAATGTAGAAGAATTCCATCGTAAGATGAAATTCGATTAAGTCATTTCTTCTTCGTTTGCTGGTCATATGTGTCAATCACATGTAAATAAGAACGGACAGAGGAAAAAAGACAGTTTATAGATAATTCCTGATTGCATCATAAGGAAAAAAATGTAATTGGAAATAAATCAAGTACAATTTGGATTGAACTAAAAAGAAAGATTTTTCTTTTAAGAGAAAATATAGTTCTGATTGATTAGCTAGTCATCTCATTATATTATGCCAAACTTGTCAATCCTATCTTAATCCTATTTAAGAATACAAGCAGCTTTTCGGATAATTCAAACCAATAAATAAAGAAAAATTTTAGTGTCTAAAAATAAAATAAATTATAAGCGCTTGTTTAATTGAATGAAGTTTTTTTAATAATAAAATAAAAAGTTTTAAAAACTTGAACAAAATATAATTGGTTAATTGATCATTTATTTTAATAGATGATTGATAGTATTTAATCATAGCAATCTTTTTAAACAATAGAAATAATCAATTGTGACTTGATCATTAACTGTTGAACAAAAAAAATGTTAGTGTTCAGTAGAGCCATCTGTCTAAAAATAATTTATCTTTCTTTTCATTTGTTAACTATGACAAGTTATTCGAATGTGTGTGTGTGTTTGTATACACGGAGACGAGATATGTTTTCCGTTGGTTAAAGAAATAAATATATTTTATTATTTAATTTATTCTTTTTGTCGATTTATTTTCGAAATAAAATAATTTTAGATGTCGGAAATACATTCATTTGGCAATTTACCAATCATTGCACATTCATGGAATAAAGATCGAACACGTATGTTATTAGAAAGATTCTTTTACAAATATAAAATTTTCTTTATATAGAAATTGCTGTATCATTGGGAAAAAATGATGTACGTATATATCAAAAAGTAGCTGGTAAATGGAAATTAACACATACATTATGTGAACATTTATCACGTGTATTAGCAATTGATTGGGCACCTAAAACAAATCAAATCGTCACAGCTAGTGCAGTAAATATATCTTTAGAAAAAAACATTATAGTTCGTAATTTTGCTAGGATTATAATGCATATGTTTGGACATTTGAAAATGATATTTGGAAACCACAGATGGTTGAATTACAACGAACAAGTCGAGCTGTATGTTGTGCTAAATGGTCACCTGAAGGTTTTCATCAATAATAACCAATTAAATTAAATTTATTAGATTTTTGTTTATAGAAAATAAATTTGCTATTGGTTCCAGTGATAAAAATGTTGCTGTATGTTATTATGAAAAAGATCAACGATTTTGGGCAGCTGAAATGATTAAAAAGAAACCAAAATCAACTGTAACTTGTATTGCCTGGCATCCCAATAATCAATTACTTGCAATTGGTAGTTGTGATTATCGATGCCGGTTTGTAGATAATCTTGAAATATTTATTTTAATGATGAAAAACTATTTCTATAGAATCTATTCGGCTTTTGTTAAAACTGTTGATGAACAAGCACGAACATCGAATTGGGGAAAAATTACAAATACAGGAGAACTTTTACATGAATTTCAATCAGGTTAATTTTCTATACGAATTTTATTAATAAACATATGATTATATTTAGAATCTGGTTGGATTCATGATGTTGCTTTTTCACCATTAGGTGATAATATTGCATGGGTATCACATAACTCAATTATATTTGCTGTTACAGCTGATAATCCATCTCGGTAAATTTATTTTTATACTATTAAAGAAGAATATAAACATAAATTTTAGAATCACCATGGAAATAACGAGTTATTTACCATTTCGTTGTATTATTTTTATGAATGAATCGACAATAATCGTTGGAGTATGTTTAGAGAAAAAAAACGTTTTTATTTTTATCAAATATGTTTTCAAAGGGACATGAATTTTCTCCATTAATTTATAATTATGATCAACGAAATGGTACAATTGATTTTCTCGAAAAACTTGATCGACAAGAAACATCAACCGGTCGACAATCAATTGGGTTAGAATTTTAATTTGTTTTTTTTCATATTCTCTATTCTCGATATATCTCTAGTGACGAAATTAATTTTTTTACATCATATCAAGCAGCGTATGAAATAAAACCGAGTGTGTTTGCAGTGTTTTATGCATGATTCGAAAGAAGGAGTATGATATTAATAGTTCTGATTCAGTTAAAAAGGTCCGAATGGTGTCATTGATACTTTACTACATTACTTATGACATAAGAAAAACTTAATAGTACTCTTTTTGATGATACTTTTCCGTAAAGTGTCATTCTTCCGTTGAATAGAAAAAATTAAATTTCTTTTTTTCTTCTTATGTTTCAAGTCGTCTTTTTGATCAAGCAGCAATGCAGACTCAAACACCTGAACCTGTTTCAACTCATCAGAGCATGATTACGTAAATATTACCTTGACAAATGTTCTTGTATTTAATTTTTTCGCTTTTCAGACAAATTGTACCTTATCAAAAAGAGAATGGCAATCTAGTAAAAATTAGTTCAGCAGATTTATTTGGTCAGATAGTTATTTGGAATTTAAATGATAAGAAAATGAAAAAATAACGAATCTATTTTTTTCCTGCTTGAAAAAGTTTATAGTTGAAATTCCGATGATTGTGCAATTAGGGTGGCGATTCTTTTTTTTTTTGTATTTTTTTTATGCATGAACGTCTTGTCTTTATCGAATTTTTTAAAAAAATATAGAAGAAAAACTGTTATATTCTCTTTATCTTATTAAAATAAGGCATTAACATATCTTTGTTTTTTCAGAATAATGACGACGGTAATTTGTTTATTTTTGTGTTATGATTTTTATCTTCGATGAATTTATTTCATCTTTAGAAAGAAATTGTTATTGAAGCCGGACAAGAATTACGTGGTGATGTAGACGAAACGTTGACAGTTGAAGTAAGTGGATGTTGTTTTTTTCTTTATATGAAAATTAATCTTATTAATTATATTTATAGTTACGTTCAGGTAAAGCCGAAATTTTCGGTACTGAACTAGCTATTGGACAAAAATATCAATTTACATCTGGAATGAAATTTGCAATATTTACTTATTGGGGTTGTACAGTTAATGTAAATTAGAAAAAAATTTTTAATGATATTAAATTTATGTTTATTTAGATTATCTCACCACATGAAGATTATTATGTTGCACGTGATGAAAATCCGATGCATATTTATTTAAATGTACACGGTATGTTAGAACAATTAAGACAAAAAGCTGAAACTGAAAAAACACGTGGACCTCGTGTAAGAGAACAGGAAAAGATTTGAATTTATCTAGAAAATATTAGTATTTATTATAGATAATGGTAACGGGTTTACCAGATGTAGGTAAAAGTACAGTATGTCGTATGCTTGTAAATTGGGCAGCTCGACTTGGTCGAACACCAATATTAGTTGATCTTGATGTTGGACAAAATCAAATATCGATTCCAGGAACTATTGGTAAGAATAAATAGTTTGATTTATACTTACTAAAACGTTTTTGTTTTACTAGCGGCTATGGTTGTTCGTCGACCAGCATCAGTTGAAGAAGGTTTTCGTATTGAAATGCCACTTGTTTTTCATTATGGTTATAAAACACCCGGTGAAAATATTGGTCTTTATAATGAAATAATATCATCAATGGCAATGTATGTTAATATTCGATCGGAAAATGTTGAAAAATGTAAGAATAAATTGTTTGCTTGCTTGTCTGTCCGCAGGGTCAAAAAAACATCGAAAATCGATTTTTCGAAAAAGACATTTCTAGAGGTATTTCGATACAGAGACTTCGAATCTGATATTAGTTTTTTAAAATTCTTTAAAAAAAGAATTGTTTTTATATAAAATTTGACGAAATGGTTTTTGAGGTCGGGGAACACGAGTCTAATGTTAGTGTTTGCAAGTTATATAAGCAAAAGGTCCCGTAGCATTTTAGAATACCATTTCTACGAGAAAGAGCTAAGCGAGTCCTTAGACGAGCGTTACTTGTGACTCATAATGTCACATTTATTATACTTCTGTCAAAATAGTATTGATTAGATATTTCTATCAGAATATGACAGATTGAGAAAAAAAATGATTATAATAGTTCTTTACAAAATAATGAATGTTTATAAGAAGTGTTGCTAGTCCATATTGAATTCAATATTTATTTTTAGCTTTGATAAGTGGTGTTGTTGTTAATACATGTGGTTATATTCGTCAAGAAGGTTATGAATCATTTAAACATGTCGCTAAAACATTTGATGGTAAAAACAAGAAACGAATATAAAAAAAAGAAATGTAATTGTTTTTTTAGTTGATATTATTATCGTTCTTGATAGTGAATGGTTATCAACAAAATTAACATCAGATTTACCTGGTGTTAAAGTTATTACTTTACCTAAATCAGGCGGTGTATGTTTATTTTTTCAAATCAATAAATTTAATTGTATATAAATATTTGTTAATTTTAGGTTGTACCAAAAGATGCAGCTAAAGATAAATTTCGTGAAAATAAAATTCGTGAATATTTTTATGGACCAAGAAATAATATTTGTCCACATGTATTTACTATTGAATTTAATGAAATAAAAATTTATAAAATTGGTGCACCACAAATACCAGATTCATGTTTACCAGCTGGTATGATTTTAAAAAATCCATATAATAAAATCTTACCAATTGCTGCAAGTAAGAAAAGTCGAAATAGTCAAATAGTATTATTCTTTTTTTCTTCTTCTTTTTCATAAAAAGGTCCTGCGTTAATGCACCATGTTTTAGCAGTCAGTAGTTCCAATGATCCAGAACAGTTATTAGCAAAAAATATACTTGGTTTTGTTGTCGTGTAAGTTGTATTATTTTCATATTGAATATCATATTTCTTTCTTTCTTTCTTGTCAATAGTCAACAAGTCGATTCAGAAAAACGTACATTAACATTATTATCACCACAACCTAATGTGAAAAATAAACTTCTCATTGTGTCTGATATATCCTTTGTTGATATGAAATAATGTTTTCTATTTTGTATAAAGAAATAAAATAAAAAGATGATTAACTAAACTTTAAGATATCAAATAAGATGTTTTTTTTTGTTTCTTTTTAGATATTATAAATCACGATTTACATATTTGCTTTTTTTCTTTTCTTTTATGATAGTAGTTTGCATGCGCTTTTTCTTTTGGTATGATAATAAGAATGAAAGTATATGTGACCCAATTAGACTGCCGAATAGTATCATGTTTTTTTGTGTTGTTCGTTCTATTTGCATAGTCAAAAGACAAAGAAGAAAACAATTATACAATGTGAACGATAATATCGAATCGTTGATTGACTCATGTAATAAAAGAAAATGCTTTGAAGTATGTAGTATAAAACGTGTCGTCTTTAGAATTTTTATATTCAATTGATTTACATCTGTCACATAGATGTATATTTAATTATTTTTCTTTTAGATGCTATAATTTCTTAACTTCAAATAGTTCTCTAATCTTATTTGGAGACAAATAAAAAATTATTCTCGTTTTTATATTTTATTTTTCTGTAAATAAAAATCACAACTGGATTCGATAAAGTTAATTAATTTGACCTCCTCACCGAGTGTATTAAGTTCACAGGAGGAGAATCAACAGAATGATTTTTCTTCTTCATCAAATGGTGTAATGTCATTAATGAATTCTGATACTGCATGTCGTGTAACATCTGATGAAATAATCAAAATTTTACAAACAGATGGTAAATTAGGTTTAAATGAAAATGAAATACAAAATCGACGTAAATTTTATGGTCACAATGATTTTGAAGTTGATGATGCTGAACCAATATGGAAAAAATATTTAGGACAATTTAAAGAACCAATGATATTATTATTACTTGTATCAGCATTTCTATCATTATTAATGAAACAATATGATGATTCAATATCAATAACAATTGCAATTATTATTGTTGTTACTGTTGCATTTATTCAAGAAAATCGTGCAGAAAAAGAAATTGAAGCTTTAAAAAAACTTGTTCCACCAAAATGTACTTGCATTCGTGATGGAAAAAATCATCAGATATTTGCGCGAGATTTAGTTCCAGGAGATTTATGTATATTAGATATTGGCGATCGTATACCAGCTGATTTACGTTTAATAGAAGTTAATGAAATATCTGTTGATGAATCATCATTTACAGGTGAAACTAAGCCATCACTTAAAACAATTTTACCAATTACATTTGGTTCAAGACAAACATCTATTAATGATAGAAAAAATGTTGTTTTTATGGGTACACATGTATTAAATGGAAATGCAAAAGTAAATATTTAAATAAAAATTTTTATCTTATTTCGAAATGATTAATTTATTCATAGGGTATTGTAATATGTACAGGTGAACATTCGGAATTTGGAAAAGTATTTCAAATGATGCAACAACAAGAAGTAAATATAGATTCGAAAAAAATTAAATTATTTCATGTTTTTTTTAGGCACCAAAAACACCATTACAAAAGAGTATGGATGCACTTGGAAAACAACTTTCATTTTATTCATTGAGTATCATTGGATTTATTGTCATTGTTGGTTGGTTACAAGGACGACATATATTAGAAATGTTTACTATTGGTGTTAGTTTAGCTGTAGCAGCAATTCCGGAAGGTTTACCGATTGTTGTTACTGTTACATTAGCACTTGGTGTTCAACGTATGGCAAAACGAGATGCAATTGTTAAAAAATTACCCATTGTTGAAACACTCGGTTGTGTAACTGTCGTATGTTCAGATAAAACAGGAACATTAACAAAAAATGAAATGACTGTAACAAATATTGTTACATCGGATGGACAAATTGCAGAAGTTTGTATTTTATAATTGTAAAATATTTTATATCTTGTTATCTATTAGGTTACTGGCTCAGGTTATAATGGTGAAGGTGATGTTTTATGTAATTTACAACGTATTGCTTACGATTCACATCCATTAATATCTAAAATAATCGAAGTAAAATATTTTTTAACATTAATAAATATTCAAATAAATAATTTTAATTAGGTTGGAGCTGTTTGTAATAATTCTGAAATTATCAACTCTCAACTTCGTGGTCAACCAACTGAAGGTGCTCTACTTGCTGTTGCTATGAAAGTATGTATATACATTTTTTTTGAATAAAATAACTTTTTCTCGTCATAGATGAATCTTCCGCATCTTCGTGAACAATTTCAACGTGAACATGAATGGCCATTTTCACATGAAAATAAATGGATGGCTGTACAATGTACACCCAAATATAATCCAGTTTGTTTTTCATTATTTTAATTTATTTATTTTTGAATTTTTTTATTATAGAGTGAAACACGTCTATATTTAAAAGGAGCTATTGAACAAGTATTAAAAATGTGTAAAAAATATTTTTTTCATGGAGAGACAATACCATTAACTGATGAAAAAATACGAGAATTTATTGTTGAATCAAATCAAATGGCAGCTAAAGGATTACGAAGTATATATATATAATTTCTTGAAGAAATTAAAAATTATTTATTTCTTATAGTTCTTGCAATGGCTTCGGGAACAACGCTTGATGATTTAGTATATGTTGGTATAGTTGGAATAATTGATCCTGAACGTCCACAAGTCGTACAAGCTATTTCACAATTAAAAGCAGGTGGTGTTCAAGTTAAAATGATAACAGGTGATGCTGAAAAAACTGCAAAAGCAATTGGTAAATAAATCAAAATTTTTTGTTAAATTTTTATTTAAAAATATTATTTTTGTTTAGGATCTCGATTAAAAATTTATGAAAGTTCGGATTTAAGTATATCCGGAGAAGATCTTGATCATATGAGTGCAGCTGAACTTGATAATGCTGTTTCAAAAGCAACAATTTTCTATCGTGTTAGTCCAAAACATAAATTAATTATCGTCGAAGTAAGTTTCAATGAAAAACAAAACAAAAAATTTCTATTTCTTGTTATTTAAGATTTTACAAGCACAAGGACATATTGTTGCTATGACAGGTGATGGTGTTAATGATGCAGTTGCACTTAAAGCCGCTGATATTGGTATAGCTATGGGACAAACAGGTACTGATGTATGTAAAGAAGCTGCAGATATGATTCTTGTTAAAGATGATTTTTATACGATCATGTAAGATAGAAATTCAATTAAAAAAAAAACTATTATTTAATTTTCTATAGGGCAGCAATTGAAGAAGGTAAAGCAATATTTCATAATATAAGAAATTTTGTTCGATTTCAATTGAGCACGTACGTAATATTTTTAAAAAAAGGAATTTATTTAACGGAGATTTGTTTTTAAAGGAGTATTGCTGCTTTGAGTTTAATAACACTTTCGACTGTTTTTCATTTTCCAAATCCATTAAATGCTATGCAGATTCTTTGGATTAATATTATTATGGATGGACCACCTGCGCAAAGGTTTGTTTTTTTTTCTTAAAGGAAATATTTCAATATAAAATTATATTTTATTAGTCTTGGTGTTGAACCAGTTGATCATGATGTATTGAGAAAACCACCGAGAAAGGTTACGGATCCAATGATAAGTAAAAAATTAATTATTAATATGGTTACAAGTGCTGCTGTAATTGTTACTGGTACATTATGTGTCTTTTATGCTGAAATGCGTGATGGAAAAGTAACACCACGAGATACAACAATGACATTTACTTGTTTTGTCTTTTTTGATATGTTTAATGCTCTTAGTTGTCGATCTCAGGTGAGATTTCTCTTTCTAGAAAAAAGAAATTACTTGAGAAATATTTTCTTATTTTTAGACGAAATTTATTTTTGAAATTGGTCTTTTCTCCAATCGATTTTTTCTTGTTGCGGTGTTACTTTCCATAATCGGTCAAATAGCTGTTATTTATTTTCCACCATTACAATACGTATTCCAAACCGAAGCACTTAGTGCATCAGGTATTTGAAGAAAAAAACAACTCCTTCCTATTTTGTTTAATAAATAATATTTTATTTAGATTTGTTATATCTCGTATGTCTTACTTCATCTGTATTTCTTGTCAATGAAATACGAAAATTGGTAGAAAGAATATATCTCAAACGGCAAACTAAAAATACATATATATCAAAAAATACTTGGATGATCTAAATACGCTTACAGATAAACATTTTATTTTCAAAATCAAAGAATAATTTAAACAAAATTCGAGTCTCACCGTATTTAATATGCATCTAAAACGTTTTTTTGTGCTGGATATAAGTCTGTTATTGGCACTTATATTTTGTTTTTTTTTCTCTTTAATTTATTCGCCTTTTTTTTGTTAATTCTTGACACGTATCTGTTGTATGGTTTTTTTAAGTGATAAATAATAATAATAATTATTAAACAATCGGATAATTTATTAATCGCACAAGAGATATTTATTTATATAATAAGATAAAAGAATAACATAAAAATCACATATACGTTGATAAAAATGTTACTACCACAACTAGGATTTGGTCCTATAGGATTAGTAGTAGATGTTGTTGTTTCACTAGATAATAAATTGGAACTAACTCCTAGAGTAACAGTTGTTATTAATCCACCAGGAAAACCTAAATTTCCATTTTCATATTGAATATCCATTAATGTATAACTTCCGCCACTTGCATAAATACCATCTTGACTATTTAATGTACGTCGAACATTATGAGAATTGTATGGTGATTGTTCTGCAACTGTATCACTAAATGAATCATTGAAAAATAATTGACCTGTATGAACAACAGTACCACCGGAATAAAGACTTGTTTCACTATTATATTCTCCACCAATATGTACTTTAATATGTATATGAATTGTTCGACCAGCGTACCAACCTGGATAAATAGTATCAAATGTTGCTATACCATCATTATTTGTTATTTGAAGTCCTCGAAGAAATGTCTGATTATCATTTTGAGGATTTGGTATTTGATTACTAGCAGAAATATAATGTGAATAAAGTCCCAGAGCATCACAATGCCATAAATCAACAATAGCATTAGCGATTGGTTGACATGTATTTACATTCAATACAAGTACTTGAAGACGAAATCGAATACCAGAACGATCTTCCCTATAATATAAATACATATGAAATATTTCGTTAATAAAACTTTTAATTTACGAAATATTTTGTCGAACAAATGTACTATTCCAATAGTATGGACCTTCAGTTTGTTCAGGTGTTAAAATACATGCCGATGATGCTTTTTGACAATATGTTAATGATGGATCTTGTTGTAAAGATGAACAAGGCAAAATAAGAAAAAGAAGAAATAAAATGATATTCATCATTGTAATAATCAATAGATGAAATTGAATATGTTCCGTATTTATATGAAAAAATCATTTATTACCTATGTACTTTTTACATAGATTAAAGATACTTACGTTATAAATTAATTTGATTGTATTATATTACTTCTCTTCGACGCATGATCAAATAAAATAAAAGGACATGATTTATTGACTTGTCTTATCTTTATCCTTTTTTGCATGACCACTAAACTGAATAAAGTCTATAAAAATGTACTATTTTGACTAGCAAACGTGTATTGTCGTCTTTTATATTCGGGTACACTGTAACCCTTAATGATATAATAGTAAGAAATCAGTTGTCGAGCATTTTAAACATTGTAGGAAGATTATCTTATTATTTCAATTATTTTTCAAAGTGATAAATAGAATGTTTGAATATGAATAGTTTAATATGCTTAATTTTATTTGCATATGATTATTCACGGATTATTTATTTTCAAAAAGACGTAAATATACAACATTTAACAAAGAAAAATCTTTGAAAACAGTTTATATTTTAATATTTGCTAATAGTTGAAAAAGTTGGTCTTAATGGTTGATTATATCTTCCAGTAATAGCTGGTGCATTGCTGGATATGTTATGAATACGTGTAGAAGGTAAACGTGTTCGAAGATAACTTCTTGCAGGAAAATTAACTTTACTCGTACTTGTGTTACCAAGAAGTGGTGGGTCAGGTTTGTATGTTCGAAGATAGACAAGCCAAAGTAATGGACAAGTCATAAATGTTGTGACAAGTGCCATAATAATTAACATAGTAAAAAGACGAGGTGAAAGAATATTAAGTTGAAGACCAATATTCAATGCAATAAGTTCTACTAAACCACGTGTATTCATCAAAATACCTACAGCTGCTGAAAATTTCCATGTGTCTCTTATCATAATTTTTGTCATAATAAATGCAGGTAAAAATTTTGCCAATGTAGCAACAGCAAAAATAAGTACAGTTATTCCACCATAAAAGCTATCATTTAACGATCCTAAATTTGTTCTCATACCACTTGAAGCAAAAAATAATGGAAGCAATAATTGACCAGTAACTAATTCTAATTTAGGAAATAATTCAGTATTAAATCTTCCAGATTTCGGACATATAATACCGGCAATAAATGCACCAAAAAATGAATGTATACCAAGTATTTCACAGAAAAAAGCAGATGCAATCAACATAAGAAATACTCCAATAAGAAAGAAAGGATTCATTTCGTCATCACGTTTTACTAGAAAACTATGTATAAATTTTATTGTGTATTTAACAATGGTAAACATGAAAATAATATAACCAATAGATATCAATACGACCCTATAATATATATATATATATTAGAATATACTACATATTATCCTCATTGTTACACTTACCATAAACCAACAATACCTGATCCTTTAGCAAAAGCACCAGCAATAGCTAATGAACACCAAGCCATAATATCGTCTATTGCTGCACAACTAATTGTTACTGAGCCAATTTTTGCTGATAATAATTTTGTTGATGTAAGAATTGATGCAAGTACTGGAAAGGCAGTGAATGACACACTCGATGCGATGAATAGAATAAATGCAACTCGATCTGGTGCTTTAAATCCATCTCGATTGTTAATATCATACAAATAATAGGATAATCCAATACCACTTGCATATGGTATAATAATAGTAGAAATGGCTATTGGAAGAGAACGTTTCCATTGTTTTCTAATTTTTTCTTGTTCCAATTCTAAGCCTAAATTGAACATGAATAGGATAAGACCAACATTACCCACTAATGTAAAATAATTCCATGATGATGTTGGAAATATATGGTTTGTCCACCAATTAATATTTCCTAATACTGATGGACCAATGATTACTCCAGCAATGATTTCACCAATGACCTTTATATGTATAAGTTATAAAATTAAAATATTATACAAAAGTTCATTTCTTACCGATGGTTGTTTTATCAATGAAAGTAATGCCCCCATAATGCGAACTAGTACAAGAATAATGAAAAGTTGCATAAGAAACCGAGGCCAATAGTTAGCATCTAATGATGGATCAGCAAATATAGCGACCATGATTGTATACTTGTTGTCTTGCAGAAAATTAATATATGCAAAACATGACGATACCAATAGTATATATATACATCTAGTAGTATATCATGTTAGTAACTGGTTCGAAGACTGCTTCTTCATCCAGTTTGATATCCGGTTATTCAACTAGTTTTGCGCATTGATTTTTTTTTGAAAACATATCTCATTCTGCTTATGCTTTATGTTTATCTCCTATACATAAATGCTGTATTGCACTTTTTGATTTTTGTCGATAATTAATAATTTGTATACAGCATCTAGGTCATCCATGCGATGCATCTGATAATTATACTGTCTTGATCACGAACTGAATGAATGTACAGGTATATAATCAGTCAAGTGTAGAATAACTAGTTATGGAGAAAAGTAGCAATAATGACGGCTGATGTCGTTTGTTTATTTTATATTTAAATCGAGTTTGTCGTTAGAATGAAGTGATAACATAATGGTATTTATCTTTTGAATATAGAGTATCTCAAATTCAAAGATAGAAAACAACAATTCCTTCCATATTTATGTGTGAATACAAAACTTTTCTCAACAATTAATTAATGAAATATTAATAGTTTTCATATCATAGATATTTTTATTCTTATTGATAGAAGAATAATCATCAGCAATTCATATTTTGATGATTCATAGTTTTTCGAAAGACTAATAAAGTAGTCAATAAAGTTATGAATCATGATTCAATTAATCGTAATCGAAAAGAATGAAATAGTAGACATGATAAAATTCAACACTAAAACGAATTTATCGGTCTCTGTCAGCATGTTTCTAATATCGATGCTTCATTATTTTACTAATAACCAGTAATTTAAAAGCGTAATTAAAGTATTAATAGATTTATTTTTGTTTATACAGTGAAAATATTTAATAATGAAGAGGAAAATAAGCGACACCGTTTTTAGTATTTTATTAAGGCGTTTCGTTATGTGCGCATAACATCATCAATCAAAATATAAATTTATATGTAAGACGAAACAACGTATATATAAATAATAGAAAAACATAAGACAGATTAGAGAAAACTTATTCTTTTGATGTGTCTTTTGTTTTCCTCTTGTAGATATATACGTTCTTTTGACTTGCATTTACATTTATATTTTGACTGATTAATAAATAATAAATATGTAAAATAATAAAACATTTCTAGTCAATGACTACAGAGTATGGGTATGGGTGTTGATGTGGATAATGTATTCACCTAGTATCCACACCCATACCATCAAGACTAGCATAAATAATAATGATTGAAAGAGAAATAAAAAGAAATAATCGTGTACTAAAAATTTGTTCTGAATAATTAAGTGTTGATGACCAAGATGGATTGTTTGAAAATAAATTCAATTCACAAACATCGTGAATAAAAGCTGAACGAGTAGGAATAAATAAATTTGTCGAAGATCCATCTGGTCTATTGCTCATCGTGTTCGGTTAGAATATTGATATATTTTATGTACAATACAAGATGTATATAATGATTTATCTATACTTAACAAATGACACCAAATCCAAACTTAAATCGTTTGAGTTTGGTGCATGTCTAATTTAAACAATATAGATATCGAAAATTTATTGATGATCGATTTTTATCCAAATCTTTTTATTAAATCAAATCAACAATAATCAATTGATTTTTTATGTTTGCAAATATAATCTTACGTCGTGAGACGAAAAGAACAATAGTTTGTATATATTGCCAGACTGATTACTAGAATATAGATGTTCGAATTTCGACCTACTTATATGAATAGTTTTATCAAATCTTTCATGTTAGATAGCCCACATCAACTAGGCATGCTCATAACAGTTCAATATATAAAACTATGGACATGTAAATTTCTAGCAAGTAACTGTTAATGGTATTCCCTTACCCTTTCTCTTTCAGTTAAATATTTTGAAACTTTTTATTGACCGGTTATCGACAGATATAATTAGAGTCCTGCGAGAACGATTTTTTTTCATTCCCATTTCCCGTTCCCGTTCCCGAAAGAAAATTTTATTGTTCCCGTTTCCTGTTCCCGTTCCCGTAGTCCCGTTCCCTTAAGCAATAATGAAAAAATATCATCCTTGTACACTAGCTTCTTGCGACACATTACAGTGCTCAGTAAAGTAAATATGATATGAAAGTAAAGCTAAATTTATGATTGGAACGTCGATTGGCTAAAAATTCTCTATGTGAAAGCTAATTGTGCAGACATATATAAATGTATAGGAATCTAGATAATATAATTTACGGGAACATGAACTTTTGATATCGTTCCCGTTCCCGTGTTCCCGTTCACGAAGTTATCACGGGAATTCCCGTTCCCGTTTCCGCGGGAAAACGGGACGGGAAAATGCGGGAAAAAATCGTTCCCGCAGGACCCTAGATATAATTCATGTGGTCGAATATATTTTAATTCACTGTATGCAATGGCTGCCTTGTCATAATTAAAAAAAATTCTATGCGGAACTCAATTTTGGTGAAAGGAAAAGAACAAAAAATAATTTTCTTCATATGCCTTTGAGAGACTTAATGCATTCTCATATGCTTTTTTTCTTTTTCTTTTTCTTTTTTGTTTCTTAGGCAAACAATATAAAAGTAAAGATAAAGAAACGAAGAAATGCGTTGCGTGTGCACCTTCTCGACACCATTTTCATAACTGTTGTAGAGAATACACCTTAACTTATTTTCACAGCAATATCTATAGAGATACTTTGGACCGTCACGTTAATTAGATAAATTCCTGTGAATTATTCTAAAAGCATTCGTATTTTTTTATGACTACTAAATCATCTCAAGTTCGTAATTATTTCAAATTAGATTTATTAATTGCACGGTCACGCGTTACACTTTGTCGTTTGTTTAAAAAACGTTATTCACTATTCAACAATGGTCAAGTATGGGATGATTCGCTAACATGTGGAACCAACTATGTAACTAATGTTATTGTGAAAAACAAGAAAATTAGTTTAACACCTGTGCAAAAGATATCTGTTTCTAGTGGAAACTCAGATGAATGGGATGTAACAACTTTAACTACTCTTCTATTATTTGTCGATCATCCAAAAACGTTAAGCACAAATGAAATACAACAACTTGATCAGGAAAATAAACTCTTGCAACAATTGAGGGAAATTCGAAATAAACTAGCTCATAATGCAATAAAATCTGTTGATGATGCACAATTCAATCAACGATGGACCGATTTAACAGCAATTTTAATTGCACTCGGTGATATAGACACTGAATTAGATAAACTAAAGGATGACAGTATTTTCGAATCATCTACTCAAATGATTAATGACGACAACGTGAAAGAAGCATTACGTTTGAACTCACTTGCCACCCAAGCTCATAAAGATGGAAAATTTTCCGAAGGAATCACATTATTTACAAAAGCAACAGTTTTACCGGGTGTTGCAGATCATGACCGTGCTATTTTCTTTTCCAATATGGCTGCTAGCCGTCTTGCACTGTATGAAAAACAAGCAGGTCCCACCGAAAGATTTGAAATTGAGGATCCAATGGATCAAAGATATCGTGCACTACAAGATGCTAAACAAGCCCGAATTCTTTGGTCAACATGGTGGAAAGGACATTTGCGTGTTGGAAAAGTATATACTGCCTTGAATGAACATGAAAAAGCGATTAATTCATTTGAACGAGCACTGGCTCTTGCACCAACGAACGATGACATAAAGAAAGCATTGGATGAAAGTCATCATATACTTGGCCGACAACAACGACAAGAGCATCTTGATCCTGAATCGAAACCAAAATCAATACTTGAACAATTGAATGACAAAAAACAGAAATTTGGTTTGAATCCAGAAGAAGTACACAAAATTTATAAGTTATTTCGAGAGAAGAATCCATCTCTAGCCGATGTCGAAAAAGGATACAAATACGAACATGGAGATAATGATATTAAACAGAATTATGAAGAAGCCGCTCGATATTTTGCAAAAGCAGTAAGGCAAGGCAATGCTGAAGGAATGTATAATTTAGCTCGATTGACCGATCTTGGTCTAGGTGTGAAGAAAGATTATAACCTAGCTCAAAATCTTTATGAACAAGCAGCTGCAGAACTACCGTATCATTCAAAACTATACAATGTTCGGAATACCGGTGTAGCGGAAGCTGAACATGCTTTAGGTCTTCGATATGCTGAAGGTGTGGTCGTTAATAAAAATCTAGGAATTGCAGCACGTTGGTATCAACGTGCTTTTGAACATGGGAATATTCAATCAGGTACTAATTTGGCTATCTTATATGAAAATGGCAGTGGTGTCATAAGAGATCTTGACAAAGCTGAACAAATATTTGAACAGGCAGCTAAACAAGGTGATTCAAATGCTATGTATAAGTTAGCAATATTATTAACTCGTAGAGCTAAGTTTCCAATGGCAAAAATATGGTACGATCGAGCATGTAAAGCAGGTCATATAGTTGCTCAAGCCGACCGTGGATTTGAAGAAGACTTGCAAGCAAAAGATAATATTATTAGTAGTTTTCCGCCAGATACATTGCCGATGATGGATAAATTATTTGAACTTTACAGTTCGGTGAAGAGTACTACATCCGCATCGACAGCGATGAATGGATCAGATTTCTATGATTACTATATGTTACTCGAACACGCCAATTGTGGTTCGAAATCAGCAAGAATTATGTGTGATGCTTTGGAACATTTTTTAAAAGCATTATATATATTAACGCAGAACAATACATTGACGAAAAATGAAGAGAATCTGGTTATGCACAATCTTTCACAATGTTATCGCATTGAACATATAGTTGCTCAGTATAGAAGTATAGAGATACGTAATAAACTTATAGACCTTGTAGATCACGTTCTTCGCCGATGTAATACTACTGTCTCACAACTTGACGAAGACACTCGAACATGTTATGCTGGATTAAATATGGATTCGCCTACATTGGTTATTAACTTTCTTAGTTTATGTAAACAAAAGTATCCGAAATCAATATATTTTTTCGAATTAAGCGCCTCAATGAACGGTTTCTTAGGACAGTTTGACGCCACTTTATATGAAGCTAATCTTGGATTACAAATAGATCCAAACTATTGTCAGTTATTGTATGATAAAGC